AGTCCATTTTAAACACGGGGCGCTTTTAGAAATACTGCTTTGTAGCCTTGAACGCTCTCTAGTTCTTTTTTGGACCCTCAGCGCTGAAGTCATTTGAAACTAGGGTGATATTTTGCAAAAGCAACTTTACCAGGAAATGAAGGAAAACAAAACAAAATACAAGATGCTCACTGAGAAAATATAAGGATATAGAAACATACCCACAAAGCCTAGCCTCCTTGTCTGTAAGGAGGCCAATATGGGTGTTGCCTGGCATGCCCCCTCCACGGGTGGGCAGGCCTCAGTTCTTGCATTTTTGAGAAAATCCCACCCCAATCAAATACACTGAAACAATACAGAAGTGTACGAATTAATCCTGAATATTACTCCACCCTCCAGCTCTCTTTAACTATAACTCCTTTCAACAACTCTGTGTATTTTCTCCCAGATGTTTTTCTGAACATTTATAAACCCACATATATTGTTTTTAACACAAGTGGATAGGCCATTTACTACACACACTGTCCTACTTGTTCCTTTTTCATTAGATATTATTTCTTAAAGATCTTTCCATGTCCACTCATATAGCTACCTCATTATTTTTTAGAGATTTTTTTTAACAGCTTTATTGGCTATAATTTACCTACTATAAAATTGACCCGCTTAAATATACCAGGCAGTAACTCAGCAGTTTTATAGAGTTGTGCAATTATGACCATAATCCAGATTTAGAATATTTCCATTGTCCCTAAAACAAGCCTTGTGCCTGTCTGTAATCATTCCTTGCTCTCCTCTCCAACCTACAAGTCACCTGTCCTCTGTTTCCGTAGGTTTGCCTTTCTTTGAGACATTTTATGTCAGTGGAATCATACAACATGTGGTCTTCTGTTCTGGTGTTAGCACCATGTTTTTGGCCTTGTGTTTAAAACCACTACATTCAATGTATTCCATGGCATGGATGCTCCTTCCTAGTTATTGGGCCCTTTCCCTCTTGTTGAATATTTAGGTTGCTCCTAAGCTTTGAGTTTTATAAATAACACTGTGACAAATATCCTGTATACATTTGTCTACCTGTGTGGCTATTTCTATAGGATGGGTTTCTAGAAGTATAATTCCTGGATCAGAAGGTGTGTGTACTTAAATACATATGATCAGATTGCTTTCTCTAAAGGTTGTAACTATTTACCCTACTACAAATCTGGGTGATAATATTGTCTTCTAATCTGGCAGATTCGACCCCAAAACCATAGGAGGTAGTAGCCTCCCCTTGACTCCCTGCAGTTGCTCCTTCAAATGACCAGAATTGTCTCTTTGTTCTTCTGATAGCTTTCTTCATTAGTTTTTCCTTTAATTTAATAATTTAAAAGCATTTTTTTATGGTGACTAGGATACATGCTACAGGTTGTAGAAAACTAATGTTTATGCTTTAAGAATAATAATACAACAAATCCCAGGTGCCCATAATCTAGGTAAAGAAAGAGGATATTACCAGTACTCTCAAAAGCCCCAGTGTGTTCCTCCCTGGGAGATTCAAACCCTAAATAAACATTATCCAAACTTTGGCTGTGATCCTTTTTTTTAGTCTGCACACACCTGTTTGTGTGAAAGATTTTCAATGAGTCAATTTGATTAAGCTGATATAATGTTTCATCAGATTGCCTCCCTTTCTTGCCTAGTTCCACGTTAGCATCAGCCAGAAGAGACTTGTGTGAGCTTTGGAAAGTGGAACAGAAGCTGCCTACTTTTTATGCTCTGGAAGGTCAGCGCAAGGCCCCCGATGCTGTTCTATGCTGTCCCTTATTTGCTGGTTCCTCTCGCTAGTGTGGGGCAGCAGCTGAAAGGGCCGCACCTCCTCCTCCTGAGCCGGGTGCATTCTGACCTTCACGAGGTTCCAGCTTGTCCCCACTACAGTCTGCTTCATGTGATCTTTCCTTCTGACGATGTTCTGCCACTTGCAGGTCCCAGCACCAGAAACAAAGACAACAGCCCGACCTAGACTACTTAGTCAGCTCCCACAGTCCCATACAGTCAAATCCCTATAATAAATCTCTCCTCCAAGTGGTCCTGCTTTTTTCTTTTTTTAAAATTGTTTTTAAAGATTTATTTATTTATTTATTTATTTATTTATTTATTTATTTATTTATGATAGACATAGAGAGAGAGAGAGAGAGACAGAGGGAGGGAGAGACACAGGAGGAGGGAGAAACAGACTCCATGCCGGGAGCCCAACGCGGGACTCGATTCCGGGACTCCAGGATCGCGCCCTGGGCCAAAGGCAGGCACTAAACCCCTGAGCCACCCAGGGATCCCTCTTTTTTTAAAAAAAAAAACACTTTATTTATTTATTCATGAGGGACAGAGAGATAATGAGAGAGGCAGAGACATACGCAGAAGGAGAAGCAGGCTCCCTGGGAGGAGCACGATTCAGGACTCGATCCCGGGACCCCGGGATCATGACCTGAGCTGAAGGCAGATGCTCAACCCCTGAGCCACCCAGGGGCCCCAGTCCTGCTTTCCTAATTGACCCTGTGTGATATGGCATGTATCCTCAACAGAGACTTTAGTTTTGCTTGTCTTTGAATTTTGTATTGGGCTCCAACCTTCTCTTGTTTTTAGAGAAAGAGTGTGTATCTGTGCAGGTTTGCAAGCGGGGAGGATGCGCAGAGGGAGAGGGAGAGGGAGAGAGCAGAGCCCGTTGAAGGGCTCAATCCCACGTCTTGAGATCATGACCTGAGCTGAAATCAAGAGTTGGATACCCAGCCCACTGAGGCACCCAGGTGCCCCCTCCAACTGTCCCATTAACTGTCTTAGCTACCAGCTTAGAATAAGGTAACCCCCTCTGAGCCTGCTCTCAAACCTGGGCCCCAAGCTGTTGGCCCTTAACTCCTTCAGATGAATGTAGGCCCTGAAGAAGTGGACCGGCCCCACCTGTATGAGTGGAATGCTCTGACGGGGTTCATATAGATATCTTCCCATCTATTTGTAAGGTGCCTGAAGTGTTACCACTAGAAGAGCAAAATATCTGGAAAAATGAACCACCCTAGGCATTTTTATTCCAGCTCTGCTACTACCCAGCCATGAGATCTTGATCAAGTTGCTTTCCTTGGGCCTCAGTTTCCTCATTTGTGTATTGCAAGGGTTGGCGGGGGTGGGAGGGATCCCTACGCCTCCTCTGACTCTGCGATGGCAGGGTGGCGGTTTTCCATGTACGTCAACGTGTGATGAACTTCAATGTGACATGTGCAAACTGGGGGCACGTCCTCGTATCACCCAAGAGACACTGGGGGCTGTCCCTGTTTCGTGAACAAAGGGAGCCCATTCCTGCAGACAACGAGGAGGGATTGTGTCGCAAACTCAGGAGACATAGAGAGACGATGGAGGGTGTTCGTGTAAGGAGGGGAGTGTGTCTCAGAAGCAAGAGGCACCAGCTGAGACTGAGTGGGCAGATCCAGGCAGAAAGGAGCTGGGCCCTGACAGTGGGACTCAGGCCTGGAAACATCTGAGGGAAGGAAGAAATCAACAACTCAAAGACAGGCCCTGGATGTGCCTCCTCCTAGTGATGGCTGGGTTGGTAGGTTAGTTGTGCCAAGACTGTCTTTATGTGAGAGAAGGAGGGAGGAAGGAAGGGAGAGAGAGAATGAGAGAGAGAGAGAGAAATATTAACAGAGTTCACGTAAATGCAACTCAGTCTCTCCCTCATTGCTCCTGGGCTTATTTTATTCTCTTATTTTCCTTGGAGAAACGTGCTTCCTCTAGCCCTTGTTATAGGAGCAAAGAGCAGAACCAGAACCAGAGTGAAACTTGGTCTGGCCTCCTCCCACTGACAATAATCTCAGCGAGCCATCTGGCCCATCCGTCCTGCCAGGTCAGAACACCACTGGTCCCTCTGGCAACACTGGGTGTTCCCTCTAGTAAATACACATTCGCCTGCCTTTCCCACCTGCTGAATCAGAAGCTGTTCTGAAGGCTTGGCCAGAGCAGCTCAGTCAAGCTTGAACCTGAGCTCAGCACAGTGCCTGGCACAGAATGAACTTGGAACAAGGGATTATTGTGGCCGGATTAATCCTGTTTACATTTTCATGAGCTAGGAGTGGTAGTTACCTACCCCTTGAGCCCTCCAGCTCCGAGGTTTGCTCCTGCTTCCCTGGACAGGCCTCCTGTCAGAGCCACAGCAGCTGTCTCTTTGCTTTAGTGGTTGGAAAGTTGTTAACAAGAAGGGGACCAGAACCCAGTAAAGTTTGCGGGCTTTGCAGCTGAATCCCCTCTGCCACTGTACTTCCTCAATAGGCTGCTCAGAGCCCAACCCCCTCCTGTCAAAGCCCCTGCAGGGAAGAGCCCTGTGAACAGGAGCCCTGGGATGGCAGGCCCTTAGTAAATACTGCCCAAGCAATGAGTCAAATCGTTTGTTTTGTGTGGAAATCATTTCCCTATTCTGCAAGGTGTGCTTCTGTCAATCCTGAATGATGGGCTGTGTGTGTGTGTGTGTGTGTCTGTGTGTGTGTGTGTGTGTGTGTGTGTGAGAGAGAGAGAGAGAGAGAGAATTTTGCATGGGAGAGAGAAGAGAGTGAAGACTCAAAGTAGGGGTTGCTGGTTGAGCTCAGCAGAGCTCTCTGATGTCCTGCTCCCCAATCCTGCTGATTTGGTAAACACGTTGACCCTTCTAATCCCACCCTTGACACTGTTGACTATGGTTTCACCCAAAGACACAAGAAGCACTAGATGATCCTGGGACCCAGCGGTCCATAATAAATGGCCAGTGGTAACAGGCTTGGGCTGGGGATGAAGGAGGTAGAAAGGCTGGGCTCTCTCTCGACTTCAGTCCTTCTCTCTGTGTACTCAATAAACAGCAAAGAGATTTATTTATTGTAAATAAACGTACATTCGGGACCTCTGTTCACCCTTGCCTGACTTCTCTGCAGCAGTTTGGGTGCTTTTTGTGGTAAGTAATGAAATACGCAACTCAAAGTGGCTTACACACACAAAAAAAGAAAAAAACAAAAGACATTTAATTATCCCCCCTGAACAAGAAGTTATAGGTAGATGGTTCCACAGTTACTTCAGTTGCTAAAAATTGTCTTTTTTTTTCATTGTACTAGGATACGCACAACATAAAATTTACCATTTTTACCATCTTTAACTGTACAGTTTAGTGGCATTAAACACATTCACAGTGTTGTACAGTGATCACCCCTATCCATCTCCAGAAACTTTTCATCGCCCCCAGCTGAATTGTGCACCCATTAAACAATTACTTCCCATTTCCCCCTCTGTCCAGTCCCTGGGAGCCACTGTTTTACTTCTTGTCTCTATGAACTTGACTATTGGAGGTACTTCAAGTAAGTGTAATCATACACTATTTTTTTCTGGCTTCTTTCACTTGATATACTGTTTTCAGGGTTTATTCATCCATCCATCCAGAATTTCATGCATTTTTAAGACTGAACAATATTCCATTGTATGTATATCCCACATTTTGTCTGTCCATCATCCTTTGATGGACATTGGGTTGTTTTCACCTGTTGGCAATTGTGAATAATGCTGCTATAAACATTAGTGCACCAACATCCCTTTGAGTCTCTGCTTTCAGTTTTTTTGGGAATATACTTCGAAATGGAATTTCTGGAATCATATAGTAATTCTATGTTTAATCTTTTGAGACACTGTTTTCCATGGTGGCTGCACCATTTTACATTTCCACCAAGAGTGCACAAGGGTCCCACCACATTTTCCATATTGTTACTGATACTTGTTATTATCTGTCTTTATTGTTGTTGTTGAATTGTAGGAATTCTTTGTATATTGTGGATAGTGAACTGTATAAAATATATGATTTACAAATATTTTCTCCCATTCTGTGATTTTCCTTTCCACTCTGTTGATAGTGTCCTTTGATGCACAAAAGTTTTTGACTTTCATGAAATCCAGTTCTCTGTTTATTCTTTGCTTGGTGTCATATCCAAGGAATCGTTGCCAAATCAATGTTATAAAACTTTTCTTCTACATTTCTATTAAAAGTTTTATAGTTAAAGTTCTCATGTGTAGGTCTTTGACCCATTTTGAGTTAACTGTTGTAAATAGTGTAAGGAAAGGGACCAAGTTCGTTCCTGTGTGTGTGGATAGCTACGTTGTCCAACACCATTTGTTGAACGACTATCCTCTCCCCATTGAATACTCTTGGTGCCCCTTGTTGAAAATCATTTGACCATTTATGCTTAGGTTTCCTTCTGGGCTCTTTGTCCTCACCCGCTCCATCTGCCTCAGTGTGTTGAGCATACTTGTTACTTCTCTGTCACATCGTATCCTACAACCATATTCAAAGGCAAGAATGAACCAAGGATGTGTATGTGTGTATGTGTGTGTGTGTGTGTGTGTGTGTGTGTGTGTGTGTGTGTATGCGTTTCTTTTTTCAATCAGGAGTACTTCCCAGGAGTCCCTGGCCCCAGTAGACTTCCTCTTAAGCAATGGTGTGCTGAAGCCAGTTTGTACCTGCTTGTGAAAGCAGCTCCTAGATTTTTGTGAGCTGGTTGCCAAACACTTGAAAACCCTTGAAATCACCGTGGTGGGGGCATTTACGCCAGGCCACCTGGCAAATGCTACAGACCAAGATTTATTTCCCCCAGTAGAGTGGTTTCCCAGCACACCATTGTCTGAAAGCTCAGCAGTCAGAAGTGAATGACAGGGCCACTCCTAGCTTAAGGGAGTCTTTAGAAGTGAGTACCTGTCCTTTTCAGCCTCTCTCAAGGGAGGAGGGCTTTGCTGGCAAGCAAGAAAGGGAGAGTTGGGGCAGCTACTAATGCCGCTTGCTACTAAAGGCTCCCAATGGTAGGAACTTTCTGGTGTCATGTAAAAGGATGTCTTTTAAACATCTTTAGCTGCCTCAGAGAACAGAGTGCTGTGGGCTCAGTGAGCTCTAGCAGCTGACACTGTAGCTATAGTAAGGGGTGGGGCACCAGGGCAGGCTCCCTAAACCATACAATGGGCCTGAAAAGGACGTGGCCCCAGCAACTCCCTGGAACCACAGCTGGGAGCTGCCTTGACACGGAGACTGCGAACAGCCAGTGGACATGAGGTTTGGAACGGGATGCTGATGGCGAGGGAGAGCCCTGAGAGACTGCAACCGGGTCAGGGGGTGCTTAGAAAGTAGTAGAAGTGTTCGCTGAAGAAGAGCCAACAAAGGAAGGCCTGCTGTCCTTGGGCAGGTACTCCTTGCTGATGAGCCCATGGAAGGCCATGATCTTGAGGAGTCCATGGCGAAACTTCTGGCCAATGAAGGCATAGATGAGGGGATTAAGGCAGCTGTGGAAGAAGCCCAGAATCTCGGTGGCATCCAGGGCGCGGCCAATGTCATTGCGGCGCTGACAGGTCTCCTCGATGGCATGGAGCCTCATGAGGGTGTCTGCGACCAGGACCAGGTTGTAGGGTAGCCAGCAGAGCAGGAAGACGAGCACGACAGCAAAGATGACCCGCATGGCCCGGTGCTTCTGCCCCATGTGGGCCTCAAACAGGGTGCGCAGGGTGAGCCCATAGCAGAACAGCATGATCATCAGGGGCACGATGAAGCCAAAGGTCTGGGGCAGGACCCGCATCACTATCCGCAATTTTGTTGTATTGGCACCCATGTCCTCGTAGCAGACTGGGCTGGAGTAGGGGGGATTGATGGCCCTGCGGAAGATGAAGATGGGCAGGGACAGGATGAGGGACAGGGCCCAGATGCCTAAGCATATGAACTTGACCCAGTGCCTCTTCTGGGTCAGCGTGCGTGTAGCATGTACAATGGCCAGGTAGCGGTCCATGCTGATGCAGGCCAGCAGCAGGATGCTGCTGTAGAAGTTGACTTCCTTCAGGAGCGAGACGATCTTGCACAGGGGTGTGCCAAAGATCCAGCCCTTTACCTTGGAGACAGCCCAGATAGGCAAGGTCAGGGCGAAGAGCAGGTCAGCTATGGCCAGGTTCAGCAGGTAGACGTCGGTGACAGAGTGACTGACCCGACTGTATAAGACAACCATTATGACTAGGGAGTTTCCCAGCAGGTTCAGCACGAAGACCAGGACATAGATGACAACCACAGCATACTTGTTGATGTCCAGAGATTCTGGCCTGCATGGGGCAGAGTCTGCTGGAATTAAGGGTATGTCTGTGTTGTAAGTGTAATTATCAATATCACCGAAGAGATCCTCCAGGCTGTAATTATCCCAGTTAATGTATTCCATATTGGAGGGAAGCTTAAATCCTGGCCTAGAGAAGAGAGATGAGAGTTACTGCACAATAACATCTCCCCAGATTCTAGCCTGTTGGTCCATGAACCTCAGACGGGATCCTCTGCCTTGCTTATGTGTTACATGGAAGCAACTTTCACATTAGGAGATAGTCGTGGCTCTAGATTTTGAGCCGTATTTAGGGATAAATGGTGCACTGCACGAAGCACACAGTTCCCGTCAAAGCCAGAGGGGTTCTGAGCACTTTCCATGACATCACTATCCCCTGAAACATGGTTGAAACCTCCCTTCAAGCAATCCCTACAGAACATGTCTTGGGTTCTTCAGTGGTAAACATCTCTGGCTGTTGAGGCTGAATTTAATGTCAGAAATATGAGGTGCTACTCAGTTCTTGATGTGGGGGATTAAGCAGGCAATCAATTGGGTTTGACTGCTAGAAAAAGATCGAGGCTTAACCACAAAGCTGAAGGGGGAATCCCTTTTTCCAACTTTCTGAAAGTCATAAAGAAGTGTGTGGGAAGACAGATTGAGCGGTAACAGCATAGTGGTATAGGATACTCGAGCTAGAAGAGAGCTTACTTACAGCCCAGCATTTTTCTTTCAGGATGCAGGAGACCCACTGCGGGAATATTTGTGCAGTTTGAAAAAAAATATTTTAAAAATCCTAAGCAGGTGGCTGACTGATTCCTCAAGTGCATAGAAATATAATGGACTGTCTTGGGACCTTGGAGCAGCCATGTCCTGCCATGAGGAGGTGAGCACAGAAAGCCAGTATGCTTCCAGCTCTAGGAGGAGAGGCAGCAGGAAGCAGAGAAGACAGGGGGAGAAACCCTACCCTTGTTTTGGTAGCTTTTCAGTTCTGGTGGGGACACTTTCTGCCCTGCCAGTGAGTGCCTTCATCCATCCCTGACTCCTCAGCACCCCCAGGCTACCCCCAGGTAGACCCACTTCTGTTGGCTTTGCCCTCGTTATGGGGATAGCCCAAAGGCTGCTTCTGGGGAAGCTGCTGTCACTCTAAAATATTAACTAAGTTTCCAAAGAGGAAGTAAATTAAGGTAAACCAGATTGGTTCCTTTTGAACCACAAGATATGTCACCATCGTGCCATTTCTTTATAACAAGGTATGACCATCCTGGGACCCTATGCCAGTCTGTAACCCACCTCAACATGGAGCTAGTGTTAAAGAGAAAAATATAAAGTAAAACAGTTCCAGAATTACTTCAACACTCTATGATAGGATCATCGTCACAAACCAAGATGGACAGTAATGATGTTGACAGGGATGTGGAGCATCGGACCCCTCATCCATCACAAGTGTGGATGTAACAAGGTGCAGCTACTACTTTGGAGAACAGTTTGGCAGTTGTTCAGAAATTAAACATAGTTACCAATGACCCAGCAATTTCACTTCTAGATATGTATGCAAGAGAATTGAAAACCTACGTCCACACGAAAGCTTGTACACAAATGTTCATAGCAGCATCATAGTCAAAAAGTGGAAACAACGCAAATGTGCATCAACCAATAAATGAATGAACAAATAGAGGTATGCACACACAATGGACTATTCAACCAACAAAAGGAACAAAGTACTGATATATGCCATAATGAGGATGAACCTTGAAAACATTCTTTCAAGGAAAAAAAAGCCAGACATAAAAGTCTTCATCCTGGGGTGCCTGGGTGGCTCAGTGGTTGAGCGGCTGCCTTTGGCTTAGGTCAGGATCCCGGGGTCCTGGGATCGACTCCTGCCTCAGGGTCCCCCCATGGGGAGCTTGCTTCTCCCTCTGCCTGTGACTCTGCCTCTCTCTCTGTGTATCTCTTGTGAATAAATAAATAAAATCTTTAAAAATACAGATAGTAAACGACCAACATCAACAACAAAACTCCTGAGAAGCTTTTCTCTTTAGCGGAAGAAAGTCTGTCACTGTTGATGACATATAGCAAAGAAGAAAGTGGAGTCCACTTAGGAGAAACTGTGAAAGTAATGGCCTTTCCCCTAGAGGGATGGAACCCTTAGTCTAGGTGATGGGGGCCAGTTAAATCAGCTTCTCAGCCCGTAGGGACCACAGATAGAGCAGACTCCATCAGTCTGTGAATCTAGAAAGATCTGTTTCGGGGGTGGGGTTGGGGGGAAGGGACCCTGTCTAGCCAGGAGGATAAGGCGATGGTGGGAGAGGCTGTAGTACAACTGGCTCAGCCAGTGTTGTTGGTAAGACCTGCCACAAGTCACTAGTTCTGCAGTCCCATGGTCAAGAGGATGTTTATCCCAGGGTTATGTCCAGTGAAGTTACAAGGTCAAGGGCGGGTCGCCTCTGGGGACAGATGATCAGAGATGCTCTCAAGGGAAGAAATGATTTAAAAGAAGGCTCACTTTTGAGAGTGGGTGCAGGGCATGATGGGACAGAGAGCTTGTGACCAAAGAGAGGAGAACCCCATTGGTATGAGCAATGACCACGGGAAGGCGAGGCTGGGGTGGCGGCCGAAACTGCCCTATCAGCAGACAGCAGCAGCTGTGATACTTCCCTGAAAAGCTCTCGTCCTGGATAATCTAGTGCTCAGCTATGAGGTACATGGGCACGAAGCATCAGCTTGAGGGTCCAGCGGGAGACCCTGCAAGTCAGGGCAGGAGGTAGAGAAGTCAGGAAAGAGAAACGGGCCAGGGCAGTGACCTCTAACCCCCGGGAGGGGACAATGCTTTGTGGATGCTCGTTGGTTCCTCAGTTTACCAATCTCTACGGAGGACATGTTGACAGTGAAAGGGAGAAACTAAGGGAAGGGAGTTGACATATCTGAGGTCAGCTTTGTACTCCTAGGTACATGACCTCCCTGGAAGGTTACAGGTGGATATGAGTAGCCTCCGTTCACAGGTGAGAGGACAGGCACGGAGAGGCTCAGAAACCAGCCCCTGGTCACACAGCTTGCGAATGCTGCGGTCAGGATTCCATGTGGGGGTGGACGGCTCCACAGGCTACTTCCACTCTACAGACAGAGCTGCTTCGAAAAAAAAAAATCACACCTTGTATGTGAAATGTATTTGTAAGCTTAAGTTTTCGAGAGCTCAAGAAGTCAGGCTGTATACGATCTATTCCTATCATTTGATGTTTTGTGCATTGCTCTCTTAGCTTTTCTGTAGGCCCAGAATGAAAGAAACGGCCCTTGTAGGAGTGATAAACCAAACACCCTTGCGCTGGCTGACTCCTATGGACCCCCTGGTCATGGTCTTGGTGAGCAAGTGGGAGATTCCCTCATTGAGTGAAATGGCCAGACCCTTACTGACTCACGGCCACTCAGAAACTCCATGCATGGGATGCTTCTAATTTAATTTTATGAAAATGCTGTACCATTATCTGTAGAATGGAGACATTTACAAGATCCCAAACACTGAAGGCAATCTTTTCCACAGCAATAAAAAATACAGTCATTTTAATACAATTCTAGCATTCTTTCTTTCTATAAATATCACCCACGCATATTTGCATTTCATAGAGGGGAGGAGGGACTAGGCAATGTCTGGCCCTTCCTCAGTCCCCATCCATGCCAAACAAAGCAGGATAGCTGGTGGAATCGGGAAGGGAAGGGGGTGGGCAGAAAGTTGCCCTGAGTGGTTGTCAGAAAGAAGGGTAGGGAAGAGGGGCAGAGGCTCTCCCTTTGGGGTAGAGAGGTCTCAAGAAGAATGAAGCCCACCCCAGGATGGGGAGAGATGTCTGGGATAAATGGATGCTGGGTGTTAAGGGAGACAGAAAACAAGAGATATTCCGGAAGGTGAGAAGGGCAGATGTTCCAGGACTTACCAGGAGTCTGGGCCTTTCACCTGTAGGACTCGTCCAGGAGAGCAGATGTGCCTGACTGACAGGGTGGTGGTGGTGAGAATAGAGTGGAGGAAGTGAGCGGTGGATTAGATTGCTTAATTCTGGGGTGGAGTCCTGAGGGTGCTGGATGTTTTTGATAGCTTGAATAATTAATTCCTGGGTCAGTTCTTGGATCACCAGTCATGTTCTGGACTGGGAGTTCTGGACATGGGTTAGAGACCTGCACTGTTTTCTAGCCAATCTTTCCATTTCACAGATGAGCAGACTGTGGCCCCCACAAAAGGCAGTGGTTTGCCCAGGATGGCACGGATTTCTCTCATCTTTGGCCTGGTCTCAGCAGCCCCTGGCTCTCTCAGCTGCCTTGTCTGAGTCTCCCCTCACTCCAGCTGCCTCGGGCTGCTCCCCTGCTCCGAAGCCGGCAGCTCTCCTGCTCTTGAACATCTCCTGCATCTCGAAGGAGAGCAGCTCAGCAAGACTGACAAGAGATGGAACTGGGCCTAATGCCTCCTTCCTGTCCCCACCCCCTTCACCCTTAAACCTCACAGATTTGCTTCTCCGGGTCACATCCCTTTGAGAACACTCCCTCACCCCCCAACCCAACCCCCACCCGCCCAGGGGCTGCACTCACTTCTCTCATCTTTCACTTCCCTGCCCAGCCACCTGCTCTGACCAGGAGTCCCTCTGAAGTCACTTCTCTTCTTCCTTGGCTTGTACCCTTGGGCTCCGGGCTGCAGAGGCTGCTGCCTTTGGAGCCAAGACCATCTAATTTGGAAAGAAAGCCTTTTGGGAAAAATTTGCATCTTATCCAAATCCAAACATATTTTCAAAAGCAGTGTTGAGTATATTTTTGTCACATTTTTGTCACATTTGCTAATCATGACAGTGGAAAGGATAAACGCAGGCAGGACAGTGAACACTGATGCCCAAGCCCCCACCCTGCCTCCATTCACCCCCTCCCTGCCTCTGGCTCCGCCTTGCTCTCCAGGGCCTGCAGAGTGCTCCAAGCCCGCACAGGCTCAGCCAGGCTGCTGATCCCTAGGAAAGAACCTTGGAGTCCAACTGTTGAACAAACATTCTTGGTCACCTCTCTCTTTCCCGTGCTGGAGAAGAATGCAGTGACTCCTGGCCAGGAGCGGCTAAAACCAGACCGGAGGCTCGTTATATGCAGAGAGAGGCGCATGAAAGCAACTGTCAAGGACTCTGCTAGCCCAGCCACTCTGGGCAGGTGACTTTCCCTTCCTGAGTCTCAGTTTACTCATCTGTGAAATGAGGCCAATGATGGCCTCTAACTCGTCAGGTTGTGCTGAGGATGGAATGAGGGATTACCTGGAAAGCCCTTAAGACATACAGCAGGCGTGACATTAGCGTTTATTGTCGTGATCTTCATTACTGATATCGTTTATCAATTAGTGCCACCATGTGCCTCCTACTGCAACCCCCCCCCCCAAAGGAAGGAAAAGCAGTGGGTCTGCTTTCTTTCTTTTTTTGGGGGGGGGTCTGCTTTCTAAGCTGACTTCGATGTGCATCTGTATCTGCTCTGGTCTAAATAACAACGGTCACATTAGCTGTAAAGCTGGGTGCCTACCAGGGTCCAGCTTCTGGGAAAAGTGCTTTTTCAGAATTTGCACATATAGGGGCACCTGGCTGTCTCAGTGGGTGGAGCATGCAACTCTTGATCTTGGGGTTGTGAGTTCGAGCCCCACGTTGGGTACAGAGATGACTTAAAAAGAAAATCTTAAGAAAGAGAATCCGTACATATTTAATCCTCACAACAAAGTCGTGAGGTATGCACTTTCTGGGTGAGGAAACCGAACCCTGGGAGTTAGGCAACCTCATCAGAGTGACACAGGGAACTGGGTTTCAGTTTTTAAAAGATGTTTTTACCTGACCTCAAATCCTGTATTCTGTTCATTGTAGCAAGGGGCTGGATCCCAGCCTCGGCTTTCTGAGCTTGGTTAGGAACCCCGGAATTAAAGGTGTAGAAAGGGGAGCTCAGATCTGACATGTTCCCCCCCCCCAGCCTGCTTCTTGATTTTTTGTTATGTTGATTTCATCTCCCCTGCACCCACCACCTACCTATGGATAGTGGGGTGAATAGAGAACCGGCTGGTTCTTCTGCTGATGGCAGGATGAACTTGGACTACTCAATTCTCTCTGGACCTTTCTATTGGAAATGAGGCAATTGCTCTAGATCTGTACTGTCCAGTAGGATAGCCACGAGACATACGTAGCTACTTAAATTTAGTGAAAATAGAACCAAAAATGTAGTTCCTCAGATCTACCAGCCACCTCTCAAGGGTTCAAGAGCCACCTGTGACTACTGGCTGCCATATGTATAGGGCAGTGCAGATGGAGAGCACTCCCAGTATTATAGAAAGTTCTTTCGTGTCATGTTGTCTAGGCGAAAGCTTCGTTCCCTTTAGTGGTAAGTTTCTGCAATTCATCACCTCAGTTCTCAGGGGACTCAGAGAGGAGACTGAAGTTGCAAAGTCACTTCCATCAGACATGTGTCCCTGGTGAACCCCGAGACGGAACAGCTCACTTACCTGCTGTTTGATGCTCCAGTTGCTGTGGTGGTTGGCGTGGCCACTGATACCTCCTCTGTGGCTTGGGGCTTGGGAGCAGTCAGGGCTATTGGGTAGGGGGAAAAAGCAAAACAGACTTTATAGGGAAATGTCTGACCTGGGGTTGCCAGGGTGAATTCCTGGAGGCCCACCCGGGGAGGTGTTCCCTCTGCGGAGCAATGAGGTCTGTCCTGGGACTCTGACTCCAGGCCAAGGATCCCCCTGGAGATTCTGTGATGAGCACTGGGGTTTTTCACACCTACCTGTCTAATGGCTGCTGGAGGAGGCTGCCAGTCTGAAGGTGGAGGTGTGCTTGGTCCACCTCTGTCTCAGCATTTTGAACCTGCTCCTCCTTCTTTACAAGGAAGATACAGGCAACCGCCCCGGTAAACGACTTGCCTGCACTTGTTGCACACTTTCTTCCTTCCTTCTAGGGTCAGCGTGAGAAATGTCCCTCCTCTTTCCGGTGAATTCCAGCACTGGCTGTGGGACACATTGCCTCTCAGAGCCTCAAGGGTCTTGCCTCCTGGCCCTTCAGCCCCATCCACTGTCTCTTCCTCTGAGCTTGCTCATGTCCTTCCCATCTCCTTCTGCTGTAGGACCCCTCCAGCTACTACTCCCCCTGCGCCCTCCTCACGGGTGGGCTTCTGGAGAGAGCACCTGCTTCCACTTTGTCACCTCTTGTTCACATCTCAGCCCCCTGTAGCTAGCTCCGCTCAAACAGCTCTCACCAACAACGACCTCAGGCCGCGACCTCCAATAAGCCCTTTTCTTAAATAAAGCGGTTTTAATGTTATAAAAACAAAGCATGGGGATCCCTGGGTGGCGCAGCGGTTTGGCGCCTGCCTTTGGCCCAGGGTGCGATCCTGGAGACCCGGGATCGAATCCCACATCAGGCTCCTGGTGCATGGAGCCTGCTTCTCCCTCTGCCTGTGTCTCTGCCTCTCTCTCTCTCTCTCTCTCTGTGACTATCATAAAATAATAAAATAAAATAAAATAAAAAATAAAAACAAAGCATGCATATTGTAAAGGATAGAGGCACCGAAAAAACACCTAAAGTCAAACTCGAAGGACCCCTTTCCATTCTTAGATTCACATGTTATCTCATGTCTGTCTTTCCAGAATTTCTCCCAGGCATACACCAACATGTTTTCCTTCCTTCTTCCCCTAAAACAAATGACATTTAACTAGTTGTATCATTCTGTACCTCACACGCTGTTAGGGACCTATCGTACATCGGTGCATATAAAGCATCCATGTACAATCTTGCCCTTATCTTACCCTTTTCAATAACCCGACGTATCGTGATAAATTCGATAATGACCTCATGGATGAATATTTAAGTCTTGTTACAAGCTTCTTTGGATGTAGGTCTTTGGGGACTTGTATAATTGTGTAGCTGAAGTATCATTTTGCTGGGTCATATCTGTGCACATTTAAATGTTAATAAGGCTGTACCAGCTTCTGGTGACTACGCTTACGGTGGTGAGCATGGATGGCATAATGTACAGAATTGTCAAATCACTGTGTTGTGTACCTGAACTTAATATAACATTGTGTATTGACTGTACTTCAATTAAAAAAGAAGACTGTATCAATTTCTCCTTCCGTTGGGGTTAATAAAAGGGCCTGTTACCCTATCTACTCATATTATCTCACATTTGTTAGTTATGTTAAAGTATTTCCTCCCAGCCTGCTGTATGCCTCATAACTACTGTATTTTTGGGGAAATGGTTATTGTTCAAGTCTCATTTGACCTCTGCAGCAGTTAATTCCACTGACCTCATTCTCTTCTTCCTTTTTTTAAAAATATATTTTTAAAGATTTTATTTACTTATTCATGAGAGACACAGAGACACACACACACACACACACACACACAGAGGCAGAGACACAGGCATAGGGAGAAGCAGGCTCCACGCAGGGAGCCTGACATGGGACTCGATCCCAGGACCGCAGGATCATGCCCTGGGCTGAAAGCTGCGCTAAACCGCTGAACCACCCAGGATCCCCTAAAAAATATTTTATTTTTTTATTCATGAGAGACATAGAGAGAGAGGCAAAGATACAGACAGAGGGAGAAGCAGACTCCCCATGGGGGGATATCCAAGGCAGGACTCGATCCCAGGACCTCGGGATCCCGTTCTGAGCCAAAGGCAGACGCTCAACCACTGAGCCACACAGGCGTCCCCTCATTCTCTTCTTATTTCTCCTAAGACTTAATCTCTTTTTGTGGCTTTAGTTCTCTATTTGTTCCTCAAATCTGGATGTTTCTGGTGGCTCTGCCTTGGTCTCCCCCTGTCCCTACCCTCCCACCTGCCCCCTTGGCTTCAGCGACCACCCAATCAGTGCCAAGGTCCCCCACACCTTCTGCGTCTAACTTCCCTCCTAACCTTCTCTCTGATGCTCAAGGTCATCATGCAGCCACCTCTTGGCGTTTCCCCTGAGGTCCCACAGGTGCTGCAAGCTCAGTAGGTAGAAAACCAGTCTTTTGGAATTCCGGCCCCACCCTCCCAGCCAGGCATCTGCCCAACTGGAAACCGCCTGCCCCTCACACGCCCCTGGCACGAGGCTATCTCCTTAGCATCTCTCTTGATCATCTCTTCCTCATCCTCTTCACTGATAGCGTGAGGCAACACTTTATTCTCTCCTGCCTAAACTACTGCAATGTGCGTGCCAGAGCTGTGGATTCCAGAGCTGGATTGCAGAGCATGGGCAAGTTGTTCAGTCTCAAGGGGTCTCCGTTTCAGCATCTGTAAGATGGGGCTAATGAAGCACCTACTACATAGTGTTGTCATGTGGATTAAATGAGCCTATATTTAAAGTATTTTTATTTGAGAGCGAGAGCGAGAGCGAGCAAGAGAGAGAGCCCAAGCAGAAGGGAGGAGCAGAGGGCAGAGGGAGAAGCAGATTCCCCACTGATCTGGGAGCCCAACGTGGGGCTCAAGGGAGCCCTGGGATCATGACCCAAGCCCAAGGCAGACGCTTAACCGACTGAGCCCCCCGGGTGTCCCTAAATGAGTATATTTATTAAGCACTTAGAATGGTATTGGGCACTGTCTGCTACTGCTGTTAGTACCACCACCACCACCACCACCACAACTATTCTCCTAACTGATCTCTGCCTCAAGTCTTCCCCCTCAAACCATCCTTTACTCCCCTTCCAGGACAAACTTCCCAAAGTATGCTCTTTTCCTTTTATTTATTTAATTTTAAAAGATTTCATTTATTTATTCTTGAGAGACACACACACATACACACACACACAGAGGCAGAGACACAGGCAGAGGGAGAAGCAGGCTCCATTCCATGCAGGGAGCCCGACGTGGGACTTGATCGTGGGACTCGATCCCGGGTCTCCAGGATCACACCCTGGGCTGAAGGCAGGCGCTAAACCGCTGAGCTACCCAGGGATCCCCTCTTTTCCTTTTAAAACTCTTTGAGGACCCACCTTGCCCTCAGAAAGAGTCAGTCTTCTGACCTGGGTACCTGGTGCCTCTGCATCTGATCTCGTGTTCATCTCCAGCCTTGTTTCAGGCCACACCCCCAGGACCCCTTGACTACAGGCCACAGTGAACTACTTGTAGTTCCCAAAGAGCTGTTTGGTGCCCCCCCTCCACCCCAGAGCCTGCCATACATTTCTCTTCCTCTTGGAACACCCTCCCCTGTATTTTTTGGTCTGGCCAACTCTCCTCTTTCCTTTAAGATTCAGCGGGGTCAGGGCCTCCATGGACTGCAGCCCTCTCTCTGTGCTGTCCACACCCCAGGGACTTATCTCTATTGTGGCTTCAGTTACAGGATTTGTAATCATCTGGCTGCTCCCTCCTCCCCACTGTGAGGTTCTCAAAAGTAGGGATTTTATATCTTTTATATATATCAAAAATGTATAAATAAATATAAATAGATGATATGTAAAATAAAAATAATACATATAAACATGACAAATATATCATAAAATCTCTGTATCTCCAAATTGATCACAGTGTGTGGCATCTCCTGGGTGCTTCATATAATTCTTTTGAGCACTAAATGAGTTGCCAAAGTGGGGGAGCTGATGTACATTGGAGGATCTGAGTGACATCCGATTTCCCAGGGCATCCCCAGCTGTGTGCACGAACGAGGTCGCATCAAGAGCAGTGACCAAAGTTGCACCGGCTTAGACTCTCCATGCTCATGCAGGGCATCATCCTCCCATGAAATTCTCCCAGGGATTTGAGAGAGTCTGTTGGGAGTGTCTCCCAGGCATTCCTCTTGGTGCTGCTGTGTGTGCTAGACAGGCGCCCTGGAGTCACGGCTGAACGACTCTTGGGCTGCTGTGCTAGACAGGCGCCCTCACGTTGCTGGGGGTGGCCTGTGGTGACTGGGGAGCCTTTGGCCAGAGCATCCCCAATCTTCCAGTGTCTCTGTGGAGCTTTGGTGCTCTTCCTTGGACTTGCTGGGGACTCTTTGGGGGGGCAGTGTTGAACCAGTCTAGAGCCTGGTTGTCAGCAATGTCCTTCCATCCCTCCTGAATGGAGAGGAGGTCAAGCTCCTCCATTCCTGGCCCCTGATCTATCTTTCTTCCTTCCTCTCTTTTCTTTCTTTCTTTCTTTCTTTCTTTCTTTCTTTCTTTCTTTCTTTCTTTCTTTCTTCTTTCTTTCTTTCAGATTTTATTTATTTAATTGAGAGATAGCATGAGTGGGGTGGGGAGGGGCAGAGGGAGAGGGAGAAGCCGACTCTCCACTGAGCAGGGAGCCTGATGCGGGGTTTGATCTCAGGACCCTAATATCATGACCTGAGCCAAAGGCAGATGCTTAGCCATCTGAGCCACCCGGGCACCACCCCCTGCCCCGATTCCCTTCTGATGAATTCTTGTCCAGGAGCATCTTGCCTCCTCTTTGAACATTGGCTTTTGCTCGGTCTCCTCTCTCCCATCAGCTCTTCGGGCAGACCTGAACTCTACTCTGGAGTTGCACTAGAATATGAGGTCTTCCACTATAATGAGAACCTTGCCCTGATAAAAGTTTCTGAGCAACTCTGACCCTCGAGAAGGGACTGCTGTCTTTTAGGGTAGGGGTGATTCTATTGTCCTGATTGCTCCAGGGCCCCAGCCCTGCCCCCCTCCGCTCCCTCCATTCCCTGCCCCTCACCTTGTTGCAGCCTTTGCTAAGGAGAAGTTCTCACCAGCTCTCCAGGGCAGGAACTGCTGTTGCAAAACTCTTGCTCCATGCAATGGTAATGGGATGCAACTCTGGGTGACCCTGACCCCAGGAGGCGGTCCACAGGCGCTGGTCAGAGCCACAGGGTTGCCCAACTGCTACAGAGGCTCTGGCAGTCTGTGTGAGGCAGAGGGGATGGAGACAACAGCACAAATGCCTGTTTGGGGCCTCAAAGTCTGCCCTGGAGCTCAGATAGGGCAGCTAATCCCCTTGATATAGAGTGGGGCCCACGCTTCTTTGGAAACAGTATTCTCAGAAGCACCACAGTTCAGTAAATAAATTTACGTAAGACTTCTCAGGCAGTCGGGGGATATGCTCTTGTCCCAGGGAGCTACATGAGTCCTCACCAACTGTCTATTAAAATGTAGCTGAGTGAGCACTGCATGGAGGAGAGTCACCTAGTCTCAGCCCTTCCCTCCAGACACTCACAGCTCGGAAACCACTGAGTCACCAGAGCTGTTGGAGGAAAGGAGAGAGGCCCAAGCCCCATGTCTGTCTGGTCCACCTCTTCTGTCCACCAAACCAGATGCCCTGGGGAGCGGCGGGGACTCCCACACACTGCTGGTGTGTATGTGTCGAGGTTGGGGTGCGGGGACAATGCACAAGTTGTCTGGGAAACAACTCAGCAGTTTCTTAAAAGTTAAACATACATGTATCGGAGGACCTGGGCATTTCATTCCTAGGTATCTACCCAAGAGAAAGAAAAGCAAACGTCTATACAAAGATTTGTACACCGATGATCGTAGGAAACATATTTGTAACAGCCTCAAATTGGAAACGGTCCAAATGTCTGGCAATGGGTGAAGGTGTGACCAAAATTGTGGTCTCTCCCTGCAGCGGGGTACTACTTAGCAGTAAATGGGGACCTCTGAGACGTGCACCCACCTGGAGGAATCACAGAATACGTACGCTGAGTGAAAGGAGGCAGGCAGTACAGAGTGCATACTGCAGGGCTCTGTTTTTATAAAATTCTGGAAAACTGGTGTCTAGTGGTAGGAAGCAGAATTGTGGTTGCCTAGGGATGGCGAGGGAGAGGGAGCGATTATAAAGGGCATGAAGAAATTTTGGGAATGATGGGTGCATTCTTTATTGCGAGTACGGTGATGGTTTTGTGGATGATACCAAGGTCAAAACCCATCATATTGTACAATTTATATGAAACGTGTTACAGGTCAACAGCACCTTGGGAGAACTGTTAAAAATGAAACACAACGAAAGCAGACTTTCAAAACAGACTCCAGACGGGGTGGTTGGGAGTGTGGGGAATGGGGGGCTGGGGGAGAGATGGGGTGGGGGTGCGGAGAGATGTCGGGGCCCCTGGGTCTTCTTGGCCAAGGATGTCCTGAGCCTGGAGGGAATTCAGGGAGGACAGTGCCTGGCGCTCTTGCTCAGGAAGAAGCCGGACAGCTGTGAGCTTCCTCAAGTGGCCCAGCTCATGGGTGGCGGGTGCAGGCCTCCGACCTGCCTCCGCCTCCTGCCTGCCAGCCGGCATCCATCCTTCTGCACTTGAGCACTGGCTGCCTCAGATCACCAGCCCAGAGGAGGGGAGGGAGCTCCTGGGTGCGGTGGGCGGCCAGTCCTGGGTGCTGCTGTCAGTGGGACTGAGCCTCTCCCTTCTGGGAGCAGGGGGGGCAGCGGCGCTCCCTCTTCTTGTAGTCCACAGAGCAAGCATGGCAGACCAGGCCTCCGCAGAGCCTGGGAGCAGGGCGGGGGAGCGGGAGCTCAGGGATGTGGGTGCGGGAGGGGGGTGCAGGCTTTGAGCACGGCTGTCCCTCCTGCGGCCCTGGGGCTGCCCAAGGAGGCTCCCCGTCCCCAAAGGGTGTCTTAATGGCCCATGCCCTCCAGAGCCCTTTAGATCCAAACAGGCAGGGTCTCGGGCGGGGGCCCCCTCCCACCCACTGCTTGTCCTGCCCGTGCTCCTAGAGGGGGGTGACGGGAGCAGTGTCCTCTGCACAGGCTGTCTCCTCCCAGAGGCCTGTTAATCGGTCTCTTCTGGGGAGGGATGGATGCACAATCCCATCCTCTGAGCCCTTTCCACTGCTCTGGTTCAGGTCGATGCTAAGTGTTGTGTAAAGTGAGTGGCCGGCTTTCTATGGCTTTCCCAAACCCCAGTTCCCATGTCCCTCCCTTCCCGAAGGGGGCAGAGCAAGGACTCTGTGTCCCCGCCCCCTCATTACCCCATTACCTGCACGGGTACCGCCGAGACAGCCGGCCAAACACCCTGCTGCAGGCCGCACAGCACCCTGGGGCCATGGAAGAGAGACGCTGCACCTCCTGCCACAGGTCATCCTTCTCTCTGATGGGCCCGTGGAGGTGGGGAGACCCAGAGGGAGAGAAAGAAGAGATGAGATGGAGTCACACAGACACAGACACACACACACACAGCAAGCAGCGCGGAAAGAAAGACAGAGGCATAGAAGATGAGAGGGAGACAGAGAGAAAGGAAGCCAGGGAGTCAGAGAAGAGATGGAGAGAGGTAGATGGCGAGGTAAATGGAGAGAGAGAAAGAGAGAGAGAGAGAGAGAACAAGACGCAGAGACAGTCAGGGACACAGAGAGGGAGAGACAAATAGATGGAGAGACAGAGAAAGGAGAGACAGAAATGAAGAGATCATGAGAGAGACATTGAGAGAGACATACACACAAGAGATGAGGGAGTCTGTGGTCTTTGGGAAGATGGACGGCAACACCTGGGTCCCCCTTGCCCAATGGGGCCTATAGATCCCACCTCCTCCTAGGGGTGCTCCCTGATTGTGGACGCCCCCAGAAGTTTCCTATAATGCCTGCAGGTTTTATTTGGCATTTGATGCAAACCCCCTTCTAGTTATGATCTGCTTCTGCAAAACTGTCCTCACTGCTTTTTATTTATTTTTATTTTTTAAAGGGGGCACCTGGGTGGATCAGTTGGTTAAGCGTCCGACTCCTGATTTTGGCTCAGGTCATGATCTCAGGGTGGTGAGATTAAGCCCCATGTCAGGCTCTTCCCTGGGAGTTGGGCCTGCTTAAGATTCTCTCTCTCTCCTTCTCCCTCTGCCCCTCCACCCCCTCTCCATCTCTAAAACAAACAAACAAACAAAAACAAACAAACAAACAAACAAACAAAAAAACGATGTTTAGGAATGTGGATTAAAATGTTTTTGTTTTAAATCTGGGACGGTTGGGTTGGGTGGCTCTGTTGGTAATCATCAGTTTCTTGATTTCGGCTAAGGTCATGATCTCAGGGTTGTGAGATCGAGCCCCTCCTCCTCTCTCTCTCCCTCTGAGCCTCCCCCTCTTTCTCCCTCTCTAAAAAAATTTTTTTTAAGCAAAATGATACATACACATGCATTAAAAATCCAAAAGCACAGAAGAAATTAGACTAAAGGGAAATAGACACCCTCCCCACACCTTCCAATGTCGGTGGCAAACCACTTCTTACACTTTTATTAGCTTTTTCTCCTTGATATTACTCCCACACTTAAATAACATGCTCATATCCTCTCTTCCTGACATATCAAGAAGGAGCGTCTTCTACAGAGCTCCTTACCTTGATGTCAGGGGAATTCGCTTTATTTTGTACCATCCCCACTAGCTCCACCTCCTTCCTCCCCAGGCAGTTATATCCCTGTTTTTGGTTTCTCTATTACTACAGCAGCTTTAGGGAACACACTCACACATTTATCCCTCACTCATCCTATGAAGCACAGATAGCATCCTGGTTGCCATTCTGTGATACGACCGTGGTGCCGCCAGCCTCCATTTGTCTTCAGCTGGCCTCCTTCGCCCACCTCCTACTTGTCACCCAGTCCCACAACGTCCAATACGGTAGCCACTAGCCACGTGTGGCTACTTAAACGTATATTTAATTCAACTAAAATTCACTAAGATTAGGGATCCCTGGGTGGCGCAGCGGTTTAGCACCTGCCTTTGGCCCAGGGCGTGATCCTGGAGACCCGGGATGGAGTCCCACATCGGGCTCCCGGTGCATGGAGCCTGCATCTCCCTCTGCCTGTGTCTCTGCCTCTCTCTCTCTCTCTCTGTGATTATCATAAATAAATAAATTAATTTAAAAAAATTCACTAAGATTAGAACGTTAGTTCCTCAGTCACACCAGACGCATCGGAAGTACTCAGTCGCTAGGTGTGACTGGTAGCCACCATATCGGATAGGACAAAGTTATAGAACATCTCCATCTTCACAGAAAGTTCTCTTGGATTCTATTCTATACTTAATATTGATTAGATGATGACCTTCATGTTTGTTCTATAATTGCAATTGTTTTCTGTGTTTTGTTTTTAGGTTGATTCTAACGTTAAAAAAATCAATTAATAGTATTTACATTATCAGACAATATTAAGCATATTGCTTCAGGGAGAGTTCAGATGGGTTTTAAACATGCCCTTTCTTGGAAATTTCCTATTTTTCCAGGACTTTCCAGTTGCCTTTCTTTGCTCTTTGAGTGACTTGCCTTACGCATCACCTAATTATTCCCTCTCCCCAACAAATTCTTCATCATATCAGGTGTTCTATTGGTTCTCTCTCTCCCCAGAGACCTTCCTCCTGGGTCCTCAATACTTCTGCAACAGCCTGGACTCTCTGGGCTTGCTGTCCACTTGTCATCTCGGGAATTCCCTTTGCTTCTGCCCTGGGTTACCGTGACTGCTTCCTGAATTCCACATCTTCTCTTTTCTTGGCTTACTTCCTTGTTTTTCGGAAGCACATCCTTAATTAACTTCCCAAGAAAGGCTGTGTGGGAGTTGCTTTTTCTGTGACCTGTCTTTCTGAAAAATGTTTTTTCCTGAATCACCTTCCCTACTTGCTTCATAATTTGGCTGGACCTAGAATTCTAGGCCAAAATTTGTCCTTCCTCAGAACTTGAAAGTATGACACCACTGATTCTTTTTCCTTTTTTTTTTTTTTTTAAAGCAGACTTCACACCCAGTGTGGACCCCCAGGTGGGGCTTGAACTCATGACCCTGAGATCAAGACCTGAGCCAAGACAAAGGGTTGGATGCTTAACTGAATGAGCTATGCAGGCGCCCCAGCACCGTTGATTCTTGACATGTTTTTCCATGTCTTATTTCTTTTATAAGTGACGTGTTTGAATATATTGCCCTCATCTTTGTTCTACAGAGATTTCACAATGGTGTGTATCTGTGGGCTTTTCCCTTCCTTTCACTTGTGTTGGTCACTCAGTGACATCTTTACGTCTAAAGACCTGTGACCATCAGAGTTGAGAAAGTCTCTCATCATTTTATCTGACAATCTCCTCCATCTTATTCTCTCCTTTGGAATTGTCAGTTGGAGATATTTTTAATTTCCAAGAACATTTCTCATCTTTTGCTGGTCGCTTTGCGCAGCGTCTTGTTTCATGGGAGATGTTATCTTTTTGTTTATCTTTGTCTCTTCCTTTTATGTTCTAGATTCTTCTCAAACATCTGGGGATCTCTGGTTACCATTTCATGTTTAAGTTGCTCAAGCTTCAAGTAGTGGACAGGGGCGGTTGGCTTGTGGCATCCCTTGAGGAAGGACTGGGCAGGGAGCTAGCTGCTATGTGGACAAATGCCAGAACACATTGTTCTTTGGGGCATCTAACTTTTTTAGAGAAGGATGTTTTAATGATTTGCCTTGGAAATAGACCCCTTGGTGTTAATATTCTGCAGTCAAGGAGGCAGGGGGGTGTACACTGCTCTTTCTAATGACTTTATCAGTTAATTTTCCTGATTTCTGTCTCTCATTTCATTTCTGCCATTTGAGATGTTCCTGGTGACCCTGGTGTCTCTGGCCCTGAGTTTTAACTTGGGCTAACTTCAGTGTCTACTTTTTTCATTCATTTTCTGGTTTCGGGAAATTAGCAGAAATCTCTTTTTTTCTGGTTGGCTCCTCCACCTTTCTATTACAAGTTTTATTTAATAATTTTTTTTTACAATCATTCTAGTGAGATTTCTGGATGGAAAATAGGTGATGTGCTATCAGTCTACCATCCTGATGCAGAAGTCAGTCTCTGTGGCTTTCCTCCCCTATTTTTGTTTAGGGCCAGATTTTCCATGATGCGTCTGCAAGGGACATTAGGTTACGCAGTTTGGAATCTTGTGATGAGTTTCTTTAACACAAGGAAAAACATTTTTCTTTCCTGATGCACTGCTGTATTTTTCCTTGGAACACCTGATGACATTTAGGCAACTGTTTCCAGTTTTGATTGTCCCACCAAAATGCTGAGAGTTAAGTTTTAACCCTAACCCTAATCCTAATACCTCGGGAGTATATATTTTTCCTCTTCTATTTCATCTGTTTTACTTTAACAATCGTATGTGGGGGCACTTGTGTCTTTTATTGTTGGCTACCTTAAATTCTTTTGTGAGATATACAGCTAATTTTTTATATCCCCCTTTCTCCCAGTTGACGGCTCCTTGGAGGAGATCATTCCTTAAATTGTTTGTTCTTTCCAGATTGACTTCTCCCTTCTCTCATCTTTAATATCACTTGGATTGTGTGCAAGAAGATTTAGTCCTAGATGATTCTTCAATGACCTTCCAATTCGAATGGAACCTGAGTCCAATGGTGTCCTGCTTCCTGAACTGGGTCAAAGTATAACACTAGCTCCCCACTAGCCAGAAGGGCAGAAGCCAGGCTTTACAAAGCTCCTTCATCCCTCTGTGGCTTAGTGGTTTGGAATCAATCCTGGTGCGTTCAGCCTCTGAATCCGGGACGGCTGACCCAGGACGGCCCATAGACCCACCCAGAGGCCGAGGAAGCCCAGCAGGCAGTCAGGTACAGGACATTAGCTCCTGCCTCACCTCCCCTTTATTTCAATCCTTTCTCCATCCATGGGCTCCTTTCCTTTCCCCTAACCTTAGTAGGTGTGTGTGTATGTGTGTGTGTGTGGGGGGGGGCTGTTTGCAGTGGTGGCGTGCCTTACAGCCAGTGGACTCCATGTAAGTCATTTGCTGTGTGTCCTTGGTGGCCTAGTCAGCCTCTCTGAGCCTTAGTTTCTTCATCTATAGAATGAGGAGAACAGTTGGGATGACTAAAGGAAGGAGAAGAGTCAGGGTACGTAAAGGGTTCAGAACCCTGCTTGATAGTTTTTAGTGGAGTAGAATCTTCATTCCCATCTCTGCATCCCACGCCACCCCAACCCGCACTCCTGCCCCCTGTGGCTGCCCTTACCGAACCAGCTCTAGCACCCTCATCTTCATGGCACGGACCAGGTCCCGCTGCCCTCCAAGCTCCTTCTCGTACTTGGCGTCCCTCCTCTCGGCCTCCTGCTGCTTCTGCTCCAGCTCTGTCTGCAGACGGGCCCTGTCTTCCTGACACCTGGGCAGGGAAGGAGGGCTCAGCTCTCAGCATGGCTGCTCGAGCCAGGCCTCTACCTGACAGGGAGCCCCCCGGGGAAGCTGGTGGGGCCTCCTACAGCTGGTGTGCGCACACACACCATACACACCACACACGCACCAGCGACACACATGCTCGCATACACACACGTACTACACATGTACTTCACGCCCTCACAGCCCCCCATGTCACACACGCCACATATACACACACACAACACAGAACACCAACACCATTCCACACAAGTCACAACACACCACACACACCACACACACCATGTAACACACATAACCACACAGTACATACTGATATCACACTGCATACACTTGCAACACACCATATCTACACATGATACACAACACATATACCACATACCATACACACACATCACACACACAACACACACACCATATGCCACACACACTGTACACACTACACATATACACACCACACACAACACACACACAGTCACATACACACACATACACCACACATTCACACCTCTCCACACCCTCCTATGCCACACATACTCACACACACATAACACACAGCACCATACACCACGAGCTGAGTGCTGTAGAGCATGACATCTATAGGCTGACTCCTTACCAACTGTTCAGAGGAATGAAAACAGGGTGTATGTAGCCTCATGTGTTCCCTTAGAGAGGATGAGCCAACATTTCCATTTGCATTTCATTTCTTTTCTTTTTTAACATTTCCATTTTAAAATGTAATTTTTCTTGAAGGGCATGCTAACAATTGTGGCAGCTCTCTGGAGGGAAGGGGGGTGACCCAGGCTGGATGGGCTGTGCCCAGCTGAGAACAATTATTGGTTTGGGAGGGAGGTAAGTGGTGTAGGGCTTGGGGTAATTTTTAGGTTCTAAAATATTCTGAAACATTATAATACATTGTATTTTCAGTTAAAAAAGCAATATTAAACATATGGCTTTCTTAGATTTTTGTTTCAATTTGGGCTTGGCATCTCCTCAGCTCTATTCTTGCCTCTTCTGTCTTTGATGGCTTCCTAGAAAGTTCCAAGAAATCTACTGGACTGGAAATAAGAAGGTCCCCGCCCTGGGTTCTAGTCGCTCCCTCCATCACTCAGATAGGAGGGTGTTGCAAAGGTGGGTACACATCCTGTGACCTCAGATGTGTGTGTGTGTGTGTGTGTGGCCACATCCCTGGGCTTCAGTGTGTTTGAGACTTGCAAGAGGCTTGACAATGAACTGAATTATGAGTTTTTCCAGCGCCGCCGTGTAGCACGCCTCAGAGAAGAAAGCTGGGTGGGGTGGGGGAGCTTAAAATCAAACCAGCCACAGATCCCCACGGAAATTCTGAAAGACCAGTCAGTCCCTGCAGCCTTAAGGAAGGGTGTTCCTGTGCTCAGGACCGTGGTCTGACTTTTAATGAACATTCTGGTCTTCAGTCTCCTTACTTCTTAGTACCGATGTTTCATTTTCCTGAGCTAGTTTAATTGTGCTTTGATTCCAGGGCCTTTGGCGTGGCTGGTGCTGGCCCTGATGTGAGTGAGCATTGTGCTTACAGGGTGTCTTTGAGTGGGAGGGAACATTTATTAAACACCTATGGGGTGCCAATGGCTGTTTGAGGTGGCGGGAATAGAGAAGTGCATATGCAGAGGAAGACACAGACATGGCCAACAAGCACATGAGAAAATGCTCTGCATCACTGGCCATCAGGGAAATACAAATCAAAACCACAATGAGATCCCACCTCACACCAGTGAGAAATGGGGAAAATTAACAAGGCAGGAAACAACAAATGTTGGAGAGGATGTGGAGAAAAGGGAACCCTCTTACACTGTTGGTGGGAGTGTGAACTGGTGCAGCCACTCTGGAAAACTGTGTGGAGGTTCCTCAAAGAGTTAAAAATAGACCTGCCCTATGACCCAGCAATTGCACTGCTGGGGATTTACCCCAAAGATACAGATGCAGTGAAACGCCGGGACACCTGCACCCCGATGTTTATAGCAGCAATGGCCACAATAGCCAAACTGTGGGAGGAGCCTCGGTGTCCATCAAAAGATGAATGGATAAAGAAGCTGTGGTCTATGGATACAATGGAATATTCCTCAGCCATTAGAAACGACAAATAGCCACCATTTGCTTCGATGTAGATGGACCTGGAGGGTATTATGCTGAGTGAAGTAAGTCAATCAGAGAAGGACAAACATGGTCTCATTCATTCGGGGAATATAAAAAATAGTGAAAGGGATCATAGGGGAAAGGAGAGAAAATGAGTGGGAAATATCAGAAAGGGAGACAGAACATGAGAGACTCCTAACTCTGGGAAATGAACAAGGGGTGGTGGAAAGGGAGGTGGGGGGGATGGGGTAACCGGGTGACGGGCACTGAGGGGGGCACTTGACGGGATGAGCACTGGGTGTTATGCTATATGCTGGCAAATCGAACTCCAATAAAAAAATATACAAAAGAGAGAGAGAGAGAGAGAGAGAGAGAGAGAGAGAGAGAGAGAGAAGTGCATATGGCTCCCAATAAAGCTTAGGGTGTTCGGGGCAGGGGTCAAAGCAGGTGATAGGCTAGTAAGATAGTGAAGTGAAGCTTATGACCAAGATACAGGAGGGGGGGGTCAGACTTGAGAGGGTCCTCGGGAGAGGCTCCCGAGACAAGGTGACTTTTCAGCAGATCTAGGGGGTGAAAAGTCAGCCATGTAGAGCCAGTGAAGGACACATGCAAAGGTCTGCAAGTTGGCATGAACGTGGTTTCTTTGAGGAACTGAAAGAAGGCAAGGGAAGGTGAAATATCAGGAAGGGCAGGAGGAGGTAGGGGCAGGCAAGAGATAGGTGGGAAGGATACAGGGCCTCATCTCTCCCTCCCTGGCCCCAGGAGTAGTGGACTTTAATCTCAACGCAATTGAAAGCCATTGAAGTGGGGCGTCTGAGTGGCTTAGTCGGGTAAGCGTCTGCCTTTGACTAAGGTCATGATCCTCGGGTCCTGGGATTGAGCCCTGTGTCAGCTCCCTGCTCAGTGGGGAATCTGCTTCTCCCTCTTCCTCTGTCCCCCCCCACCCCCCGCATGTGCTCACTCTCTCTCAAGTAAATAAATAAAAATCTTTTTAAAAAATATTATTTATTTACTCATAAGAGACACAGAGAGAGGCAGAGACATAGGCAGAGGGAGAAGCAGGCTCCTGCAGGGAACTCAACAGGGGATTCGATCCCAGGATCCTGGGGTCATGACCTTAGTCAAAGGCAGATGCTCAACCGCTGAGCCACCCAGGTGTCCCTAAATAAAACCTTTAAAGAAAAAGAAAAAAGAAAAAAGAAAATCACCAGCATATTTCAAGCAGGGGCTGATAGACACTGCTGGTGTGGGAGCAGTGAGGGGGGCATGGAAGGAATTTGAGTGTATTGAACACCTACTATATGCCAGCCCCTGAGCCCAGTGCTTTATAGCCCAGTTTCATTTAATTTTCACAAATTTATGGGCATCTAGTATGATCACCATTTTACAGGAAAGAAAATAGAGCTTCAGGGAGGAGATCACACTTTGCCTACAGTCACACAGCTTGGTAAGTGGAGGGAGCATCTGGGGGCTCCCTTGCCTTCCCCTTCCTCATCAGCGTCCCTGCTTCCTTACACACTAGCTCCACGGAGCAGGAGCCGCGAGCCCTTGAGAGCACAGATCAGTCCAGAATAGGCACGGCTATGGGGACAGATTAGGGCCTGCACAGGGTTGGGAGGATGGGAGAAAACGGGCAGTGGCTAATGGTACAGGGCTTCTCTTTGGGGTGGATGCAGGCCTGTCAAGCCATACTTTTCTGCCTCTGCATTTTTGTCCATGCAGGCCCTGGTCGCCAGGGGTTTATGGCACCAGTGCTGAGTGGGCAGCAGGTGGGAGCAGGGACCAATCCTTAGGATTGGTCCTAAGGGGCTGGTCTGCCTCAAAGGAGTTCAGTGGGGGGTGAGGGTGGGGGAGAAGTGTGATGTTTGCCTATCTCCCTATCTGAGGACCTCTTCCAGTCATACGTGACTTAGTCACGTTAGTCCCTCCAGGGGCAGAGGAAACCTACCTGCTTGGAAAGATGGTCTCACAGAGCATCTGGGCTGGAAGGAGGAACTTTAAAGATCCAACCATCTCCTTCTGCAAATCAGGAACCAGAGGCCAGAGAGGGAAGGCCAGTTTCCCAAGGTGCCAAGGCTCAAAAGCTGGGGAGTGGGTATTGGATGCCCCGTAGCCCAGTTCCAAGCGTATTTTCTTAGCCCCCCGTTGGTCTGCTGGGGCCTGATGCTTGGCTGGTCTTGCTAGGTCTCCTGTATGTGTCCAGCCTGGGGCTCTGCACCCGTGGGCTGCGCCCCTGCCCACCTTCACTCTATCCTCCACACCACAGACAAAGCAATCCTGAACCCCATGGGAACCCCCACCTCCTGCTCAAGACTCTGCTCTAGCCTTCCATAGCACACAGGGGTCTCCCTCTGCTCCAGCCACATGGGCCTGCGTGTCCCCAAGTGCACTTGCTGGGCCCCCTGCCTGGAACACTCCTCCTACGATATTTGCATGGTCCAGTCTTCCCAGTGATTGGGGCTTCTGCTCAACTGTCACCTCCTCAGAGAGGAAGCCTGCGGCTCTAAGTCTAGGTGACTCTTCTGTCTCTGTCCCCTTTCCCGGACTGATGTTTTTCCATAGCACCCATGACTAGCTGACAGCCTATTTCTATCTGTTGATCTACTGCCTGTCTCCTCAGGTCCCCGCTCGTGGCCTCAGTAGAAGCACAACAGTGTTGCTGGCTGACTCAGTGGGCCCCATGGCACTTTGGTCTGGCGGTGGTGATGCAGCCAATCCCAGCTGGATGCCGGGGACCCCTGAAGTGACACGCTCCTCCTGAGTTCCCTGGATCCCAAGAGGCAGGGGAGCGCATCCTCCTCCCAGCCCCAGGAACACAAGGTCCCACTCTCTGCATTCTGACTCCGCAGAGGTCCCCAGCCTGTGCGTCTCCTCCAAGCTCCACACCCTGCTGTCCGCCCAACGGCTCCACTTGCACGTCCAACGGGCGTCTCAAACTTAATATGTTCTCACCTCAACTCCTGCAACTCCCCCACAAGCCTGCCCTGCCACGGCAGACCGTCAGCTGGGACTGTAGCCTTCCAGCTGGTCAGGCTGGAAAATGAAGAGTCATTCTTGACTTCGGTCTTTCTCTCTCCCACCAGGAAGCCCGGCCTCACAGCTGATCCAGAATCCTGCAGCCTCTCTGCCAGAGAGCATCTGGGGGCTCCCTTGCCTTCCCCTCCCTCATCAGCATCCCTGCTTCCTTACACACTAGCTCCACGGAGCAGGAGCCGCGAGCCCTTGAGAGCACAGATCAGTCCAGAATAGGCACAGCTATGGGGACAGATTAGGGCCTGCACAGGGTTGGGAGGATGGGAGAAAACGGGCAGTGGCTAATGGTACAGGGCTTCTCTTTGGGGTGGCGACCGAGGCACAGTTTTATGAATACACTCAAAGCCATCGAATTGTTGAAAAAAAAAAAAAAAAGCAAACGTACTTAACACTAAAGCAAACAGCTCGTCTTGTCCCTCCTCTGCTCAGAACTCGCGATGCTTCCTCTCACTCTGAGTCAAAGCCAAGGTCCTTCTGGCGACCTGCGAGGGTCTCCTGTTAGCGCGTGGCCTGCCCCTACCTCTCTCCCTCCTTTACTGCACTGAGCCTCAGTGATGGCCCTCGGACCTGCCAGGCCTGTTTCCACCTCGGGCCCTTACTCTTGCTGCACCTCTGTCTAGAACATTCTTCCACCACATACCCAAATGGCTTATCCCTCGCTTCCTTCAGGTCTTTCTCACACATGCTTTCTCAGGGAGGTCCCGGGCCAAGCCGCCATGTTTAACATCACCCCTTGACACGTCCATTCCCTTTCCCTGCTCCATTTTTTTTCTTCTTAGAGCTTGTCACATGGGACACTGCGTGATTATCGCATTCATCGATGCCTCCCCCACTAGAAGGAAGGCTCCACGAGGCCAGGGATCGGTCTGTGTGGCCCACAAGAGGATTTCCGGCACACAGGACAGGGCTGGCACAGAGTAGGCCGACAGAGGGTCTGTGGGAGGATGGGTGGCAGGACAGCGGTCTGTGAGACACGGTCTCCCCGCCAAGGGAGGCAGCCTGGGTCCGGTGGTCTCCTCGGAGCCTCCCAGCTGCTCCCTCCAGCCCGTCTGGATTTCCAGAGAAGGTCCCTGGGTGGGCAAGGCCCCTGCCTTCACTTGGGGCCTGGATCATGGGACTCTTCCCTGACCAAACTGCCAGGCTCAGCTGAGCGTCTGGATGGAGGAGCCCTGGGGGCCTTTTATGGGGTTGGTTTCTGGGCCCACAGCCTCTCTCAGCCTTTTGGGCAGAGTCAGTGAACTGGACGGTGATTCAGTCTGAGGCACAGCTCCCTGGGCTCCCATGGGGTTCGGGCTGGTGCCTCTTGGGCCCCGGGGGTGAAGGTCAGCATGTTCGAGAGACAGAGCCAGGTGAGCACACTAGGCACACAGGGGCCAAGGGAGTGAGACCCAGAGAGGCAGAGTCAGGCCAAGGAAGACCTTTGCACGGCGGAGATAGTTGAAAAAATTATGAAGGAGAAACTCAGCTGCTGAGAGAGTGTGCTCCGGGCTCTTGAGTTAACGTGATGATGACGGGAAGGCAAAGACGCTGGGTGGTGAGAAGTGCTGAGTAGGAGAGACAGAGGCCAGGTATTGGCTGAGCGCCTGTGTGTAAGCCCACGATTGTGCAGCCAGCTGCCGGGGTGCAGACCTCAGCTCCCCCACTGACGGGAGACATTGGGGGAATTGTGTGGGGCCTTTGAGACTCAGTTTCCTTATCTAGAAGATGGAGATCCTTAGAGAACCTACCTCACAAGTTTGTTAAAAGGAAATGCCTAGAACAGTGCCAGGGACATAGTAAATGCTCAGTACGTGATGGTTGCGATGAGGGCTGTGACTGAAGAGGGTGAAAGAGACACTGCAACAGGGAGCAGGAAAGTGAGAGACAAACGGACAGGGGAAAGGTGGGGACCAAAGGGTGGGGGTGCGGAGGGGCAGGGAGGGAGAGGGGAGCAGCAGCAGAGGGGCTGAGGTGAGTGTGGGAGGGGAGGGAGGCTGGGATAGGAGCCTCTTAGAGACACCAGAGAGGGAGGGGCTGGCAAGGGGGGGGAGTGGGAGCTCCTCGGGGAGCCCCAGGTGTGCTGCCCTGATGCCTCAGCATCCTGAGGCTGTGCCCAGCACGGGAGGCACTCAGAAGATGCCTGCTGGGGTGACCCAGGAAGGAGGAGCAGGAGCTGGGGGGGGCCTCCACCCAGTGGCCTCCCTGCCTCCCCTGTTATGTGCTCTGTTGCCAAGGTTACCTGCTGAGCTGCTCCTGCAGTGTCTTCAATTCCCCTTCCCGCTCCTTCAGCAGCTGCTCCAGATGCTGGGCCTGCTCCTTGGTCTTCTGGAGCCCATGTCTCAGGCTCTTGGGGGTGGGAGGTAAAGGGAGGGAGAGGGAAGCTGATGGAGGAGGGCAGAGATCCCAGCCCCCGGGTTTGACTGGACAAACATCCCTGTGAGACCCCAGGCCAGGTGAGACAGCCCTGGGGTGCAGGGCAGGGCTGGGGGACAGCGTTGGGAGCAGATGCCCGGCTCTACTGCTGGGTGAGCCTGGAGCCACTACTCTGTCCTATGCTGAGGGATGAAAGTTGTAGAGCTCAGGGGGGGTGGGGGGGGCTGGGCATGAAGGTTCTGGCCAGAGAGGAGGCTGAAGGAAGGCCCGAAATCGATGTTGGTGATCTCCAGGAGAAGCAGCTACAAGAGCAGGGAGGTGGCTGCCCCGAAGACCTGCTGGGGAGGGGTCTCAGACCCAAGTGCCCGCAGGAGCCAGGCAGGTAGGACTGATGATGAATGGAGTGGACCTGGCACAGGCCGCGGTAAGACCTCCTAGGAGAATAATCATCCTGTGCGGACCAATCAGAACTGATCTGGCGGCTGCAAGGCCCGCCCCCTACTACCACGAAGGCTCCCACCTGTGGGCCAGGTGAGAGAGGGAGACACAGGTATGGCGCTCAGCTGCTCTCACCTTGACCACATCCTGCAAGGCCATCGCTGCCTGTTCCTTCCTCCTGGTCACAGTGGTCACTCCTGTTTCCCCTTGTGGTCTCTCTGGGGCCGCGTCTTCCTCTGCTCCCAGGTCTCGTAGTAGGACCCGAGGGTCCCCCAGAACGCTAGGCACCTCCAGCTCCTGCCGGCTCCCTGGCATCGTGTCCTCTATTGTCCCTGCGGGGCTGGAGGCCAGCAGCCTATGGACATGACCCCACTCTGCTCCCCCTTTAGGTGTCCCCTCTGTACCAGGTAGGACCCCTCTGTCCTCAGCCTCTGTCCCTATCACCTCCTTCGGAGCTCCCTTGGCCCGCTCCCCTTGTCCCTGGATGCTGGGTGTTGAGTTCTCCAGGCAGACTCCTGTTCTTGGGGCTCCCTGAAGCTCCTCCCCCTCTGGTTCCCACATGCTCTGGGCGGGCCCGAGGCTCCTGGGATCTTCTCTCTTCTTTTCCATGGAGGGACGAAGATGCCTGTGTTGCTGCGACCTGGGGGGTGCAGCTAACCAGTCTTCCCTGGGCGCATCTCGCTGACAGCCGGTGTGGCTAGTGTGCGGCTCCTCTGGCTGGACTCCGGTGGGGTCCCCATGTGCGGCTGAGATCTGCAGAGAAGCCCCCAAAGCCCCCTCACAACCAATTCACCAACTGGGTGCGTAGAAGGGGCTACAGACCTTCACCAAGGAACTTGCTCTCAGGGAATTGAGTCAGGAGATCGGGGTCCAGGCCCAGGAATCGGAATGTTCCCATCGCCCCAGGCGGATCTGGCCGAGCTGTGGTCTGGTCAGGGAGCAGTGGTGTTTCTCCCTGTTCTTTCCTATCCTCCCTCCCTCCCTCCTTCCCCTGCGCCTTCTGCATCCATCTGCCTTCCACGAAGTTCTTCCCACCCTCTCCTCTGACCCTGCCCCCTGAACTTCTCTGTGTTTCAGTTTTCTTGTCTGTAAAATGGGAATAATAACGTCTCCCTCTTAGGGTTGTGGTGAAAGCTTAGAGACCCACAGCAGCCAAGAGTCACCTCTCTCAGGCAGCCTTCTCTGTGCTCCCGTGTTCTTCTGTGCACATCCGCATCACCGCGCTTGACAGGTTGTATTGTGACGGACTCCCCCTTCTGGTCGGAGGCTGTGTCCTCATGGTTTCTGTACCTGGTGCCTGGAAGCTGATGGGGTGCAAAGCGAGACTGGGGACCGGCCAGAGCCACAAGCCACCACTTGGAGAGCATGTGGCCAGGGGCCGTGCTCTGTGCTACATGAGGTCTGTCTCAAAGCATCCTCACGACCACTTGCCAGGCGGGACAAGTACCTCGCCAGGGACCTTTGTTATTAGGGGCAGAACTGGGATTTGAACCCAGAAACCTGGCTCTTCAGTTGCTCCCTGAACTGAACTGAGATGTTTGCAAATTGTCACATGGAGGCTGTTCCCTGGTGTGCATCCTTCATGCTTCTGGTGACCCTCCCCCTGCCCCCTTTCCCTGGGTTCCCTGGCTCCCGCGTAGGGTGCCAATGGTCCCCTTCTCTCCCCAATACCCTCACCACCTCGGGAATCTGAGCCCTTCCTTCTCCTGTGGCTTCCCAGTCCTCAGGTCTACACGCTGGTGTCTGTCTGTCTGCTTGTGACTGCTCATCCTTGGGGGGCCCAACAGGGACGGAGAGGAGGCAACTCAGAGTGAAGTTGGGCAGAGGCACCTGCTTCGGGGCATCTTTGGTCTTTCTGGGTCTTCTTCCCTGGGTCCTGGCGCTGGAACCACAGGACCTGCAGTGAAAGGGGGGGCTGGGGGGGCTCTCTTTGGCAGTGGCCTTGGTGCTCAGCTGCAGGACATCCCATCTTTCCAACCCCCTATTCACCGTGCTACCCCTCCCACCTTCCGCCCTCATCCTCGTGGATGCATGCCCCTCTCCATCCACGCACGCACCCCGCCAGCCACTCATGCTGACACCCGCCATGGGTTCATCTTTCTGACCCTCCAACAACTCCTTAGGAGTGTGTCCTGTATGCAGCACCATGCAACGTGGCGGGATTACACTGGGCAATCAGATGCCTGGGGAGGTGGGGAACCGGGGCCTCGGACTGCAAGAAGGGGAGGTGAACTGATGGGACCAGAGGCCGAATTTGGAGCTCACTGGTGGGCGGGTGGTGGTCAACGGCAGTGAGGCCCTGGAGACAGGCTTCCCTCCACACTGGACCCACTCACTCTGAGAACATGGGCCAGGCTTCGTCTAGGTTTGGCCACTGCAGGTCCAAGTCAAAGGCCACCGCATTGAGAGTGTAGAGAGCGTCCAGGAGGTCTTCCCGGAGTTCGGGGCACACCAGAGGGCTCCGGGGGCCATACCATTCCCTGTGTTAATAGTGAGCAGCAGCCTTGGCCTTTGGCCTTGGTGCTATTGCTCCCCCCACCACCCCGAGAATCTGCCTCCGCTGTGCACCACGTGGCATGGTTCCCAAGGCAAGGGTGAGGCCCTCGGGGAGCAGGAGGCTTCAGCATCATGGTGCTACGGGGACTCCTGTGTTCTGGCTGCCCCCCTTGCTCTTTCTTCCTTGATTTTTCCCTCATGGCTCTCATTTTAGTTGCTCTCGATAGTCACCCTTCATCTGGGGCAGGGGGGCGGGGAGAGAGGCATCTTGCACAAGGGAGGGACAGTGGGCTCCGAGGGTGTCAGGAGGAGCACGTCCCACCAGCCCCACCTGGTGAGCTCTGTGTTCAGGAGGCAGAGCTGCAGGGACTCGGCCAGCTGTCCCTGGGCCAGGCAGAAGCGGATGAGAGCGCGGCCTTTTGCCAGAGGAGTCTTCAGCTGCGGGGTGCACAGGGGGCGAATGGTGGGGGGCCGGGGACTGGGGGGCACTCAGCCAGCACAGACCGACGAGATGGGAACTTGTATCGTCATGGGAGGAAAGGGGTGGCCGGAGGGATGCTGAGGGCAGGGCTAATGAGACGTGAGGACCAGGTGAGGGGTCTGTGGTCCGCGGGGCAGGGATGAGTGAGAAAGAGGCCCCCGGAGGCCATTCCCCACCAAGGGCCCGATGACAGGACCCCCTGATGCTGAGGCCAGCCACCCTACCACCTGGCTCTGGACACCTTGTCTTGTGAGTGAACGAAGTGGACTGGCTCCGTGCCACCCCGCTGCCGCCACAGGGCAGTGCAGAGGAAGTCCCAGTAATCCTTCCGAGGCCTCAGGAAGCTCTTCTGCTCTTTCTGGTCAAACTGGGAGCGAGATGAGGGACAGGAAAGCATAGAGATGTTTCCTCCCAGAAGCAGCCTTGCCTTCCAGCACGCTGAGAGAGGAAAGGGCTACAGTAGACGGGCCTGGCTCCGCCCTGACGGGCTGTGTGACCACGAGCAAGGTGCTGTACCTCTCTGAGCCTTTGGTGTTTCATTCAATCATTCCAATAGTACTTGTTGAGCACTTGCTTTGTGCCAGACTTTGTTCTGTGCCCTGGGAATTCAGCGATGAACAAACTGACCTCATGGGCATACACTTGGTAGTGGAGCTAGATAGCGAACACACTGAGTCAGTAAAACATCTGTTATGTTAGACAGCGCTGCCTGCCAAGGAGAACAATAAAGCAGGGAAAGAGAATAGAAAGTTTGTGGTGTGTGCACACATGTATGTATGTGGTGCGTGTGTGAGATGTGTGTGTGGTGTGTGAGGTGTGGTGTGATTGTGGTGTGTAGGCCCACGTGGGTATGATTTAGGAGGTGTGTGTGTTTTAAAATTTTAGATTAGAGTGGCTAGAGAGAGCCTCACCCAGGAGATGCCACTCAAGTCCAGATCTGAAGGAAATGAGAAATTGTGCCATCCAGATTTCTAGGGGAAGAACAGTGCAGGTGGCGGCAATAGCAAGTGCAAAGGCCCTGAGGTAGGTGCACTCCTGGTGCGCTTTAGGGAGATCAAGGAGGCCAGTGGGACTGGAGTGCAGCACATGAGGGGTAGACTGGCACACCCTGTATGCACCTGACACACCTCACGTGTGCACACAGGTACACTCACACCACGCATGTGCATAACACACAGAGAACTAGGAAGGCTACGTGTGTGTATGTGGGGGTGGTAGGGTCATCAAGCATCTCAGGGGGTCCTTGAGAATTTAGTAGGATGGGGCATGAGAAGGGCTTAGCCTGGCCCATGGTAGGTGCTCAACAAAAGTGCCAGCAGCAGGAAGAGCCAGGCCTAGGACACCTTGCCTCTGAAACGTGAGTCCTCAGAGCCCGGTGGCTGCCCTCCCCACCCCTGCCCCCTCCCCACCCTGCCCCAACCTGGCCCCACCTCACTTCCTAGGCTGCAGTGACAACCACCAAGAGTGAGGTCAGATGTCAGGAAGAGCTTGCGGACTCTGGGGCAGCTGAGGCTGGCGGGCAGCTCTTCCTTGGTATCTGGGGAAACCCTCCTGGTTATCTGGGCCAGGAGAGAGGAGACTGGAGGGGGGGGAGGGTCACCTGCAGGAGCTGCTCCAGGCAGCCACAGAGTCTGTGCAGCTCAGCACTGGCATCTGTCACGGGCTGCTGCCGGCCCCCGTAGTCCTGGAGGATGCCCGAGACTGCAGCTATCGGGGGGCAGGGTGGGGGGTGGTGGACATCAAGCCTTAGGTCATGAGAGCTCTAAGGGAGGGGCTCCCAAGACCCCTCCCTTCTCCCCCAATTCCATCCCAGAAAACCTCTCGGGACACACTCACCTTTCAGGTTCCTGGTGAGGATGGCCCCCTCCTCTGCCATGAGTATTTCAAAGTGATGTGATTCCTTGTGGCCCTGGAAGGTCCAGCCAGGAAGGCGCCTCTGGGTTCAGCTGCCCAGTTGTCTCCCCACACAAAGGAAGGATCAGAGCCTAGACTGGGAATGGGATATATCTGGAGTCACACAGTGAGTTAACTGGCAGGATAAACACACCAGCTCTTCCTTGTAGGCCAGCGTGCGAAGGGGATGTGGCCCTCACTAATGGGCAGTTCCTGGGTGCTAGGTGCCGTGCTCTGTGCCTGACATCCTCGTTTTAGGCCCCGTAATAATCTAGGAGGTCATTAACTCCATTGAATACCCGGTGAGAGGGCGGCTCAGACAGACAGATGAGTCTTTTATCCGATGTCACAAAGCTCTCGGTGGAGAAGCTAGAGTTTGACCTCTGGTCCGTGTGCTCACACACAGGGCAACTGGACACAAGCGGCCCATTAGTTCTCGGGCCATGAGGGCGCTGGGCTGAGGGAAAGTCACCCCTCTGCCCCACAGGGAGCCTTGCTAGAGCAGTCATCATCCTAGAGGCACACATTCATCCTTTCCTGGCCCCCAGCTGAGCGGAAAATGTGTGTGTTTGAGGACAGGGAGGCAGAAGTAAAATGAGGCCCTAGAGCTGGGATGGGGCCAGAATGCTGGGTGTGTGTGGGGAGCAGTGCACCTGGTTTTAATCCTGTGGTTCTTTCCCGAGGGAACTGTGGCCTGTTACCCCAGTGGGTCCTGGGGCTCAGAGAGCAGTCCTGTGGCCGCTGGGGGCCAGGGGCTTATCCTGATGTAACAGAGTAAAGACCAGGCACGGGAAACCGGGTGCTGCTGCTGCTGGAATTTCAGGGGTGGGTGGGAGTGAAGAAGCAGGGGACACAGTGGGGCAGGGGGAGGAGAGAAGGTAAAGGGGGGTGGACGGGCAGGATGGTGTTCAGGAAACACTGAGCTGGGAGTTAAGAGACCTGGGTCTCGGGACTCCTGGGTGGCTCAGTGGTTGAGCATCGGCCTTCTGCTCAGGACGTGATTCTGGGGTTCCAGAATCAAATTCTCCCTCTGCTTATGTCTCTGCCTCTCTCTGTGTGTCTCTCATGAATAAATAAATACAATTTTAAAGAGAGAGAGAGAGAGAGAGAGAGAGAGAGAGAGAGAGAGGATACCTGGGTCTTTGCCCTGGCCCTGCTACTAACTCACTGCATGACCTTTTGCTTTTCTGGGCCTCAGTTTCCCCATCGGTAGACCCAGGCACAGACGGAGGGTCTCTGCATCCCCTTCCAGTCCAGATGCTCTACAAAATCCATGACCACCTAGATGTACCTCCTCTGCTCTCCCTTTTCTGTCCAAGAACCTCTGCCCCCCGCTCCTGGCATTGCCACCCTAGACCCCTTCCCTGCTACTCACCTGGGAAGGCCTGGAGAGCGGCCACTTGCGTCTTGCACAGCCTTTCCCAGAGTGCCGCCTGGGAAGTGACTCAGGCCCAGCCCAGCACCCTGGAGGGGGAACCCCTGCTCAGAGCAGGAGGAGCACAAAACTGGGGGCGGGGGTGCAGAGGGGAGGGGGAGAAGTGGGAGGGGCAGGTCCAGGGTGCCAGGGCCCAATGGGTGGGCTGGGGGTTGGTACCCCTCAGGCAGACCTGGTGGTAGATGCACTTGTTGGCCAAAAGCCAGCTCACCCTGAGTGACAGCAGCATTTGCCCAAATGCAAGTTTCCTTCCCCAGCTTCTCATTGGAGGGGGGTGGTTGGGGGGTGCGCGTGTCACTTGCTCTTGTCTTTCTTCCTTGTCCCCACCAGGTGGCACAATGAGGCTGTGACTGCGGCTCCCGGATCCTCCGCGGGTCTCCAGTCTCTCCGGGGAGCGCGGTGCAGGTGGGGAGGAGGACAGCCCCCCCGAGCCCCCCGCCCCCGCCCGTGTGTCTCCCCCCCCTCCCCACCTTAGTCCCCTGGTCACCAGGGCCATCCTGCCCGCCCCGGCTGCTCCCCCCTAAAAGAATGGGAGAGAAGCCACGGTGAAGGCTGGGATCCGGGGCCGGGCGGCTGGGTGGCCCTCCCACGCCGGCTGTGCTCCGCCTCCGCGAGGCTCCCCCGGCGGGGCTGGCTGGGGCTCGCGGTCCGGGTCTGGGTGCGCGGGGCGGCCGAGGCCGGGCGCGGGCGAGCAGAGGGGCGCGCTCCGGCTTCCAGACCTCGGCGACGTCAACAGCGGCACACGCGGTGGCCGAGCCCGGCTCTGCCCTCCCGCCGCCACTTCCTGCCCCGCTCTCCCCGCCAGGGACTCGGTCCCCCGCGGAGCCTCCGGCCCCCGTCGGTGCCCGGGTGCCCGGGTGCCCCGCGCTCTCGCCTTACCTGCCTCCTGCCTCCCGCCCCCCCCGCCGCCGTCGGTCTGCTGCTCGCCCTCCCAGACCCCGCAGCCTCGCCCCCGCCGGCGCCCCGGGGACTCCCGCCCCTGCCCCCCGCCCGGGCCGCCGGCGCCCCCCCCAGGCTCTCGCCCCCCCGCCAGCCCGCACCCCCGGGCCCCCGCGCCCCGGGGGCCCCCGCCCCCGCAGCCCCGCCCCCGGGGCTCCCCCGCCCCCCCAGCCCGGGCCGCCGGCGCCACCCCCCGCCCCCGGGCTCCCGCCTCCGCTAGCCCGCGCCCCCGGGATCCCGCCCCCCAGCCCGTCCCCAGCCCGTGCCCCCTGGGGTCCCGCCCCCCAGCCCGTCCCCAGCCCGCGCCCCCCGGGGTCCCGCACCCCAGCCCGTCCCCAGCCCGCGCCCCTCGGGATCCCGCCCCCCAGCCCGTCCCCAGCCCGCGCCCCCCGGGGTCCCGCCCCCCAGCCCGTCCCCCGCCCGCGCCCCCGGGGTCCCACCCCCCAGCCCGTCCCTCGCCCGCGCCCCCGGGATCCCGCCCCCCAGCCCGTCCCCAGCCCGCGCCCCCCGGGGTCCCACCCCCCAGCCCGCCCCCGGGGATCCCGCCCCCCAGCCCGTCCCCCGCCCGCGCCCCGGGGTCCCGCCCCCCAGCCCCTCCCGCGCCCGCGCCCCCGGGCCCCCCGCAGCCCCGCCCCCGCCCCCGGGGCTCCCCCGCCCCCCGCAGCCCGGGCCCCGCGTAGCCAACCCCTCGCCCGGCCGGCACTCGGCGGCTGGCGGGCGGCGGGGGCCCCGGAGGCTCGGGCGGGGGCGCGCCGGGGGCGTCGCCACCCCCCGGACGGGCGAGGCGCCCCGAGGGCCCCGCGGTGGCCGGGGCGGGGGGCGGGGGCGGGCCGGCTCCCCCCGCGCCCCCCCTCCCCTCCCCGCGCCCGCGTCCCCGCCCCCGCCCCCGCCCGCCGGGCGCCCGGCCGGATGGGCTGCACCGTGAGCCTGGTGTGCTGCGAGGCGCTGGAGCCCGGGCCCCCCTGCGGCCCCCAGCCCCCGGGGAGCCCCCCGGCCCCGGCCGAGCGCCGGGAGCCCGGGGCCTCGGTCCGCGCCGAGAGCGGGCGGCCGCCGCGTCAGGTAGGGCGCCGCGGGGCGGCGGGGGGGGGGCGGGAGGCGGTGGCGGGCAGAGCCGGCCCACCTGAGACAGGTAGGGAGCCGGGAGCCGCGCCGGGAAGCCGGCAGCCCGCAGCGGGGAGGGGCGGCCCGCGAGCTGGGCCTGGGCCGAGGCCGGTCCTGGGCCTCTGGTGGCCTTGGGAGGAGGCGCCCGTGGGACGCGACTCTTGGAAGGGCAAGCGGTTCAGGTGAGGTGTGGGAGCCGCCCAGGTAGGGCCCGGAGTGCTGCGGTGGAGGGGTGGAGGGGCGCTGGAAGAACGGACCTCCCCTGCGCTGGTCCAGAGTTGACGGTGTGTCCCAGGGTAGCCGCCGCGTTGTCACCCACCTCTGTAGGCAGGACGGAGGGGGCCCTCTGAACCCGGGAAGGCCCAACCAGAGCAAGGACTGACCTGCAGGTGCTGTGGGCAGCTGGCCCCTCCCCCTGCGTTCTCTGCCTCCAGTGGGTCTTGCAGGTGGGCAGCTGACCCAGAGGGTCAGGAAGGCAGGTGCTTGTTCCGGAGGAGGCATCTGTCACAGAACCACTAGGCCTGGCATAGGTGTGGGCACTAGGTTTCTCTAAGGAGGAAGAGGAGGACCAGGAGACATTTGGGGTCACTAGGGGCTAGATAATCTTGCTCTGGGCTACCTGCTTAATCCCAACCTCCCTCCCTGTTTGGGAACTGGGACCGATGCAGCCTCCTCAGGTTTGTTTGCTGTGCAGGATTTGGATTATAATGCTGGTGTCTTATGTGCCTCCACCTGGGGCACTCCGTGTTTGGGCAACTCAAAATGTACCCTAAGGCCGCATCCCAGCCCTCCTTCCCCGTCACTGGGGCAGCCAGGAAGCCCGGTGTGTGTGTGTGTGTGTGTGTGTGTGTGTGTGTGTGTGTGTGTATGCTGGTGACCCCTCCGTCTCCCTTGACCAGATGCCCCTCCAAGGCAGGATGACATTCCTGGTTATACCCCACATTGCCAGGGCTCCATTTACTGGGCTCTCGGTCCTTCCCAGCTCCCTAGCGCTGCTCATCACTGCGCTGGTTGATCATGCTGACGGACAGGCGTGGTGGGGCATATTTGCTGCCCTAGCCCTTCTAGGGGGGCGGTGGCCCATGTGTGATGCTGATGGGAGCCTGAGCCTAGCCTAGTGGGGTAGGGTGAGGCCTCGGGGTGTCAGCTGGGCATCCCGTATTATTGCTTCTCGGCCCTTGCAAAGGGCCAGAGGATCTGGAGAGTGAGAGTGACATCGCACAACCCCCCGATGGTCAGGCCCTTCCAGAGGTCATCAGGGCTTCTCCTCTGCCTCAGAGCCTCATGAACACTCCTCTGCCCTTGAAGGTTTCAGGCAGAAGTGAGTTCACAGTGTCCCTCCCTTATCTGTTCCTATCTCAGATCTTTTTTTTTTTTTTTTAAGGTTTATTTATTTATGAGAGACACCAACTGAGAGAGGGAGGCAGAGACATAGGCAGAGGGAGAAGCAGGCTCCTCGCAGGGAGCCTGATGGTGGCACTCCATCCCAGATCCTGGGATCACGACCTGAGCCGAAGGCAGGCGCCAACCACTGAGCGACCCAGGTGTCCCTATCTCAGACCCTTCTTGACTTTACTTTCTCTGTCTCCCTACCTTCCGCTCTTAGGATGCAGGCAGCTGTGGGGCGGATGCCAGGTGGGCCACATGAGGGTGGGTGGGGACAGGGGCTTCGAGGGAGGAAGAAGCCAGGGGCAGTGGAGGTGGGTGATCAAGGAGAAGGGAGAAGGAGGAGGAGGGGAGTGAGAGCGTGGGTGTGTGACAGCCACAGGGACAGGGATGGGAACAAGTGTCTGTCTGCATTCGGATGAGCTGGTTTCTGCGTGGCCTCTTGAGAGCGCCTGGCGCTCGCCTATGACTCACCCCCTCCTTTATCTGCAAGATGAAGCTCCATCCCAGTCCCAGCCCTCACCCACTGCTCCCCTGGCCCTGGCTCCAGGGTGGGGGGGATGCTGTTGCTGGCTGCTGTCTCCCCTCGCCGGGTCCCCTCCCCTCATTTATACTGCAGCTCTCAGGAGACCAGGTGACCCAGGAGAGAACAGCCAGGCGGCCTAGTATTTCACTAGAGGAGGCGTTTACCACGTTCCTGTGGCGGATAAACATCTCTTGAGCTCTCAGCTCCCCTCAGGAGTCAGGGCTTAGAAGTTGCTCAGGCATCTGGGCTCCTAGCCAGGGCACTCCCATCGGCAGGCCTGCCACTGACATGCCACCATTGCTGCCATTGTCCACGTTCCCCCATCCTCCTCCAATACATATGCTAAGCTTCTCCCCTTGGGCCACAGGCTCTACACCTCCTCCACCCACAGCTCTCCTTCTCTCCCCCCTGGGCAGCCCCCTCCCACCCAGGCCACATTGCCCCCGTCTCCGTCCCCCTGCGTGCTGGCCCTAAGTCACTCCCCTAAGCAGGCTGTCCTCTGCTCAGACCACACTGCCCTCTTCTCTCTGGCGGCCTGCTTTGTCCTTCTAGGCCCTGTGGCCCACACTACTCTCCTCCTCCGTCTGTAATTTGTGGCCTGCTCCTCCTCTTTGCTCTGGGGAGGCCTGCCCACTTTGTTGCCAGGTCTCAGAGCCCTGGATTTTTGGAGCTTGGAGGTGTAGGCCCTTCACCCCTTAGGTGGCCTCCTCACGGTCCCCTGATTGCCTGATGTTCTGAGCTCTCCTTTGGCTGCACATGTCAGTCTGCCAAGCTCAGGAGAAGGGAAGGTGGGGTTTGGCATTCCTCCTGAGCATTCCCGCCAAGCCTTCTCTGACCTGGGTGCCAAGGGGCCTGGAGGGCATCTCCAGGTGCCAGCCTCGCCTCCTCGCTTTCTGCCGTATCCCAAGACAAGTGGGTGCTTGTCAGATGGTGGCAGGAGCAGAGAGGAGGAGACTCTGGGTTGCTTCCGCCTCCTCTCTCGAAAAACCAGCCCCTCAGGTCAGTTGGTCTGGCTTCTGTCCAGTTGCCTAGAGCCCTGTTGAGTTTAGGAGTTCCCCAGAACGCCAGATCCTGCAGCCTCCCCTGGGTTCCTATTGTGGGGTCCTACACCCCTGATGAAAGTTCTTTAATTCCCTCCACTATGGGTTTGATTACTTCCTCTTTCTTTCTAGTTATGTATAATCGTAGACCATCAGAGCCAAAAAGGATCTTGGTTAGTGGTTCTGAACCTTTTGAGGTCACAGATCCCTTTAAGAATCTGATGAAAGCTATGGATGTTCTTGCTAGGAAAATGTGCGTGGGCATGTGTACACACACACACACACATCATATACCCCTTCAAGCCCACCTATGGGCCCCATATATCACAAATGAGCACACTGCAGCCCAGAGAGGAGACATGTGACGCCCACAGCCACAAAACAAGTGAGTGTCAGGGTCAGGATTGCAACCCAGGTGTCTTGACCCCCGATAAATGGAAGTTTTTTTTTTTTTTTTTTCCAGAGGCCACTCTGCCTTCCCCAAAGGCTGCCTGCAATGGCCTGGCCGTTCATTTATTCAATAAGAATTTTTTTTGAGGACGAGGCGGGGAATTTGGGGATATTAATAAATATTTTAATACCTTAGCCTTTAATTGAGTTTTTCATTGTAGGTTAATGTATTTTTACAAATTTATTTTTATTGAGCTACATTTAACATTCCACATTGTGTAAGGTTAAGGTGTACTGTGAGGCCCTGTGATACATTTGTATATTGCATCAATATACAATATATTTATATGTTGCCTTATGATTACCACTGTAGCCTCAGCTAACACTTCATTATCGTTCTTTTTTTTTTTTTTTTGTAGTGGGAACAATTAAGATTTAGTTTCTTAGTCGACAAGTATTTTTGAGCACTTGATTTGAGCCAGGCATTGAGCTAGGAGCTGGAGATAGAGCAGGAAAAGCAGACAGCTCTCGTTCTTGCCTTCAGAGGTGGTGTCACTCCAGCAGGACAGAGCACAAATGAATAGTTGCAAGAATAAATGCATTAATGGAAACAGTGCCATGAGAGAGAAGTAAGGGTGTAATGGAAGCCAGTGGAGGGATCAGATTTAGACTGGGAAGGTGGAGGAAGTGGTATTTAATTAAGCAGGAAGACCAAGTGCAAGCAGAAGGGAGGGAAGAGAAGCATCCTAGATGGTGGGAACAGCACGCTTGAAGGTCCTCAGGTTAAGAGGTGTGAGCCCTTTTAGGATTTGATGGAGGCTTTTGACGGAGGCTTTCTCTGGCTGCTCCTGGCTCCCCATGAACCCTCCCATCCATGCAGTGTGGATGTGGATTGGGAAGGGTGGGAGGGGCAAAGCAAGGAGGCCTGCCTGGGGTAGGCAGTTACAGTCATCCAGGTGAGAGATGGTAATGATTTAGGTTAGAGAGGTGGTTGGCCATGGGGAGGGCTTAGGGAGTGAGGCTGAGCCTGATTCAGGTGGAGAAAGGCCAAGGCCAAGAGGTGGAGATGGGCTGGAGATGGGCAGGGATGAAGCAGAGGTGTGTGTGAACCTGACTCCTCATCTTCCAAGGCTGGCAGCTGATAAGGCTTCATCAGGGGCACTGCTCCGTTTCAGTTTAGTGTTTTATAAATATGAAGTGTTTCCTAAATACAGAGAAGCACACAGACTTTTCCCAAACTGGACACACCAGGCATTAATTCCCCTGGGAGGGTTTTTCGCTCTCCCAACTTCTAACCACATAGATTTTTCTGCTATAGAGTTTCTTTTTCTTTTTTTTTTTTTTTTAAAGGTTTTATTTATTAATCATGAAAGACACAGAGAGAGAGGCAGAGACACAGGCAGAGGGAGAAGAGGCTCCATTCAGGGAGCCCGATGTAGGACTCGATCCCGGGGACCCGGGATCACGCTCTGAACCAAAGGCAGACGCTCAACCGCTGAGCCACCCAGGCATCCCATGTTATAGAGCTTCTTATAGACGGAGCCCATCGCGTGGGTTGTTTCGTGCCTGATTTCTTTTGCTCAACATTATGGTTGTGGATTTTATCCATTGTCTTG